TAATGAAGCAAGGAATGCTCGGCAGGTTTCAATGAATGCACCCCGGATTTAGGATGTACGTACCCGCAAGGATGAGGCTCAACAGTCTGCAGGAGACGTCCTGCATGCATGCGGTCATACTGAAAGCCTTAACTTTATTGACTACATCTTCCACTTGTCCAGAGAAAAGGATCATTTTCGAATGTTTTTTGAAATTGGTAAATAGAAAAGCAAACAAATAGCCATCACTCATGAAACAAAAATCCACAAATTTTTTAACTCCAGATCCAAAGGTATCACCATGAGAAAAGGTAAGGGAGGAAAGTAAATGAGAGTAAAAAAACAAGAAAAAAAAAAAAAGAAGAGCATAGATAATGCAAAAAATAATGGCAAGACAAGTAATCTGGTTCTTCCAATATGTCAAGAACCAACATAGACTTTTCGACAAGCAGGGCGGGGAAGTAGAAAAAGAGTATCTAATCACAGAAGACCAGATTCTGATGCCAACAACCCAGCAGAAAATGCAATGATACCAGGAAGTGTGAGCTTTTGCGCCCATTTCAAGGTGGGTGGGGGAAGCAGCCCACAAGAGTCGAGTCAGCCAGCGACCAAGGAAATGAATAGGAGATGCGCCCGTGTGTATCATGATCTTGTAAATCCAAAAGTCGTGGAAATCGTAACGAGAACCGGGGACATGGCCCATGGGGAAGGGAATATGTGTGGATGTCTGGTCCGGTTCGGGGTGTCTAGACGACAATCAAAAGCACCAGTTGTTTACATTGGGAGTTGAGCGCTGCGCCGTTGTTGGGCGTCCATCAGTTTACGGCGGACAGCTTCGCCGCCGGCGATACCGCTTGACTTGCGCTTGCGAGTTGGCGTGCGCTGGTCGTTGTTCTTTGCGTGGCGGAATACGCTTGCAGGGCGAGCTGGGGAGTTTGCGGGCATGAACTCGCGGTGCTGGGGAAGGCGGAGGAGAGCCTGGTAGCGGTTGTGGTTGCGGCGGAAGGCTGTGACGATGCCCTTGTCCAGGTGGTTCAAGAAGCGCTCTTCATTGTTAGGGGTTTGGGAGTCGGATTTGCGCGTGGGAGTGCAGGCGTTAATGGACTTCACGGATGGGGGTGCCATTGGGGAGACATGGGCTTCATCGTCGAACTGCTTGTCCATGTCTTCTTCCTCGTCCGAGGAGCCGTTGCCAAAGTCGATGAAGTCGTCGACATTGAGGGTGGACTCGGGGTCATCGTCTTCATCTTCCTCAAATGAGCTGTCGATGGCGAAGTCTTGCGAGGGGTAGAACGCCTCGGGAGGACCCATGACCTGGCCTCCAGGTGTGAGGTCGTTTCCAAGAGCGGTCATCATGAGGTTGGCACTGGATGCCAGCATGGGGCTGAGGTCCGTCTGGTTAGGAGAAGCAAGAGCGTCGGTATCGCTCTCATCGACCAGGTGAAGAGTAGTCTGGCGAGGGCTGGTATTGGCAGTTCCGGGCATGCTGTTGGCGGCGGACTCGAGCCAGTCGTGGCGAGAGGATGCATAGGCCGGGATGATGACAAGGTGCTTTCCAGTGCAGTCAACAAGAGCCACTGGCTTGTGGGGATCAGCCACGAAGGTTCCCATGATGGGACCACGGCGGCGAGGGACGCTATCACTCTTGTCGTCACCCACGGGGGCCAATGAGTCGGATGAGTCCCGGCGAAGAAGGGATCGAGGGTGAGTGATGGTAGCTGGCGGAGGCAAATCTTCATCTGTGGTGTCGCCATCATCGCCTTTAGCAGGTTAGCAAAACAGAACAAAAATGTTGATGACCGGTCATCATACTCTCGTATCCACTCAAGCTGCCCTCGGAGGAACCCTCAGACTCGACGTGGTAAATGTTTCCGTGGCCGTAATCAGCATCACCAAAGATCTCTTCAGACTGCCTACGGTGGTTGGTGCGGTAGGACTCGTGGTCATTTTCAATCATACGACGCAGCTGTGGGTCCAAGCTGTCTTGCTGCAAAAAGTCACCTGGAATTTCATCATCGGTGTGGGAGTCACTGTCGGAGGACGAGTCAGATCGCTCTTCGAAGTGGACTCGTCGAGCAACTGGAGTCTCAACGGCCTCGCTAGTCATTTCTGGCTCTCCAAAAGCGTCCATGGCGGAGTACAAGTGCTCCTCGTCGAAGAAAGAAGCCGCCGGTAGGAACATGTGGTCGTCAAATACGTTGGAGATGGTCCATTGCTCATCGTTGAGTTCTGAGGTGGGCATAGCCCGTTGTGATCTTTCAGACTCCATGATCATCATCTCTTCCATTTGTTCAACGTCTTGCTCTTCGTCTTCAGCATCCGTAATATAGTCCACTGCAGCATAAATATCGTCAGAACTCTCATCAGAGTCACTAGTATTGCTGCTATCATCGGGAACCACCCGTCTTCTCTTGGCTCGTGCAGGTTGGCGCCCCGCCTTATTGTCCCTACGACGATAAGACGGAGCCCTGACAGCTGGTTCTTCCTCATCGTCCGCATCTTCTTCGGAATCATCTGCCTCCTCGCTCAGATCCTCAAGGGACGAGACTGAGGAGACAGAAGAGACAGAGGAGGACGATGCTCTGCGTTTTCTGTCGGCTGGTCGACCATTGGCCGACTTCCTAAGGGGGTTGGCCTTGGGAGACATATCGAGATTGCGCATGAAGTGGCCCTCGGGGGTTGAAGGACGGGGGTGAGCGTTTTTAGCTGAACTCTTGGGTGCCCGCTTGGAGGAATACGAGGATTGAGGCATTGCGAGAAAGAAGGTAGGAGACGTGGAGTTTTATGGTCCGGATTGTTCAGCTCCCTTTTCGTTGAGGCGGGCCTAGCAGGTGGAGGGTGTGGTGGGTGGATCTCTTTAGGCGAAGAGAATATTCGTAATTGGGTCCAAGGTTGTTCATAAAAGGGAGGGCCGAGGGTGGGTAGAGGGTGGGGAGGCGGAGCGGGAGGTAGGGAGATTTTTCTGATGGTGAAAGCACCCGCAGTTCAATGCGAACGCCGTGCTCCTTCTGGGAGTGTACTTTGGGGCAATTCCAACGCTTCACAGGAGGCGTTGAAAGAGTAACAGATATCGTCAAGTCGAAATAAGGATCGGAGCTGCAGGACTGGGGAACCGGATGGCTCCCCAGCGAGGCATTTACAGCTCAACGAAAGCCATTTGGCTGGTTATTCGACGATATCTTGTAAGTAGAAGGGTCAAAAGTTCAGTGGATCAGAAGTCGACAGTTTGATATGGAATGAAGAATGGAGAATGGGTGGAATGGAGGAAGAAGAGTAGAAGGACGATAGTCGACTTTTTTCCCGGAGGTGGGGGGCGCTCGTGATTGGCTGCGAACAACGGCAGCCCATTCGTTGGCGCCGCTCACCGACTCTTTTCTTTTCCCTTGACTGTTACATTGTTACATATTCCTGGGAAATATTGATTGACTTACAGTATTCCACATATACTACGGAGTATAGGTACTGTAGTGAATTCTTTTCTGCATGTGCTGTATGCTTGACGCTGTTGACAGAATTTGCAAACACAACAAACCTAGTCGTCATCCCAGCCTCGGGGCAATGAAGCGGGTCCAGAGTGGCCTACTGTACGAGTCTGCACTGGAGATCTCCAGCGCTTACAGGATTCCTCTCCAGCCAACAGACCGATCCATTGACTATGAACGTCAGACTAGAACCTCGCTCGGTTCAGGTTATGACCCGTGCGATATGCATGATGATGCCTATGATTCATGCTCCCGGGTTTATTGTTTGAACGTATGACACATCCATCGATGAATCATATTGTTTGACTCGTTTTGGCTCCTCAACCGTGTCAGCTCAAATTTCCACCTCAACGATTGGCTCTAGGCTTAGATTCGACTCACATTTGCCCAGTGGCAATTTGATACTCCATTCTGGCAGGCTTGGCACGCTCGGTCCAAGACCGGGCAGCTGCAGGTCCTTTCTGCCCCAAACTACTGACTGCTCACGCTCGGCGGCCTAACTATAAGAGCGGTAAGGGATAGTCTCAATAGTCTTATATGCATGAGATGTATCGATTGCCTCTTATCTTTCTATCGGTGAAGAGACACGTTTCATCTGCGGGGGCGACAAACGCGGAAGATCTTTCCGTCTCCTTTTTTTAGTTATGCAAGATCATCTCTGCCCCGCAGTGCTATGGAAAATTTCTATCTCCAACGCCAATCAAAGACCTCAGGAAACAATATTCTCGACGCTAATATGTTTTCAGTCAAGAATTTCTTCACTTTGTCAATCCTCCGCCTGGCCACTTCTATGACCTCCCAATTACTGACTCCACTTTGTTGTAACGCCTCTACGGATCGGAGAGCTCCGTATATCTACGTTTCTACGATGCCACTGGTCGGTTCTGTAGTACAGATAGATAGCTCTTTTGGATCGAAGACTACTCAGATCGATGGACACCACACTCAATGGACTCAGCTGCAACCTGTATACACATGTAGAACAAAACATTTGTGTCGGCAGTTGAATCCACTCCTTCGGAATGCTCCATAGATCCATTCTGTTCAGCAACAGTACAACTCCACCGAGCACTGGCAATTCCATCTCTCGGTTTGTGCAGTATGCCCCTTCTCTACTGTAGCTTTTCTTCTGCGGTGATGGTAGGAGTCAAGGTTTTGTCCCTACGTCACGAGGCGTGCCTACACCTGGCTTATGGAACTGAAGCTTGGCCTTACCGAGACAATGAAGTGGGTCGTCGACCCGCACGAACCAAGAGAAGAGGGGTTGCGGAAGATGAGGTTGGAGACGCCGGCTTATGAGCATAGTGTATCAACACAATGACTGCTACAAAGAGGTTTGCTGATCTGTATGTGGTGTCACTTGGGAAGTATCTGCATGGCATTGATACGATATCCCACGCCTCAACGCGAGCATGTAGTTTCTTGTAGTTTCCCTGTCTACTTTTGCCTCTCTTTCTCGCTCCTTTCTGCCCATTTCCAGCGCTAAACAAGGCAGTATTTTAACGAGATTAAGAGGGTAGAGTGATTCATTCTGATCTCTCAACAAGGATGAGGCCAAACTGTTGCCAAATAGTCCCAAGTCTCTTGCTGCCCCTGAGGTAAGTTGACAAAGGTTATACCCGCCTCTTCACACCTTGTGGAAATCAGGCTCAACCTGCATCGTGCTGCTTCGAGAGGCTTTTGGCATTCAAGACCCAATGAAGTGAGGTTTGGCAGGCAGCGCGATTCTAACAAAGCTTCAACTTCATCGATAGCCAATTTGGTCACCCCAGAATCACATTGGCATAGATACAAAGATTCCAAAGATGGTGGCAGCAAGGATACAAGGTCGCGATTTGTCGCAGATTCTTCGTTAAAGTCAACCAGCATCGCAAAAGGAATGTGCAACATCTTCAGCACGCAAAAGTCCGCAAAAGACCCAATCCACCCTTCGTCGAGATCTGGATCAGTTTCTTCATCCGTCCGGAGCCAAAACTTCTCCAACGTTGTCTTGTGGTATGAAAGGGATTCTCGAAGACGATGAGAGTGAATCGACCACTCACTGACGATCGGCCCGCCAATTTCAAGACGGAATGACTTCAGCGCGATGCAGGACTGTATCCAGACGCAGAATCCATATTCTGTGTTACTCATATCGAGGTCGATTTCCTCGATTCCGGAGCAGGGCAGGATGCGAGTCCCAGGGACGTGATCGTGATCACGGTCGGCGATCATTCTTCCACTCAATTTGCGCATGGCCGGGAACTTGAAAAATGGGTCCATCCATGATGCCTCAGCGCTGTTTTCCGTGTCGCAATGTTCTGCGAATACTTCTTTGAGATGTGGAAACAAACGGCCGCCGTCTTCAGCGGCTTTGGAGAACATCGTTCTGACTCTCCTTGCCTCGTATGGCCAGGTGATTTTGATGCCTCTCAGGTTGGTGAGTTGTGGAATGAGAATAGCTAGCCAGGCATCGGAGTATCCATCCCTCAGGGCTTGGATCCGGTACTCTCTCTCTTCCGCGGAGCTGGGGATGTGACAATCAGCATTTTCTATCAGGTTGGCGTCGTATCCATCATATTTATCATATTCAAATAGAATATCGGGGTCTTCCTTCCATGACTGGTCATCCCAACTGTCCAAATCCAGGTAATGAACCGCTTTTGCTAATGTTGGATTTCGCAGAATCGTACTCACCAATGGAATCACGGCTCGAATGCTAGTATCGCAGTTGCAAATACGCACTCGAGAGTAGAGAACTGGCAGTAGCGTATAGTACATTTGCCGAGAGCTGGAAATCAGGTGTAGGCGGTCACTCTGTGAATCTAGCTGCTCGGCGATAAAGCGGAGGATTTCATTTGGGAGCTGGCTAAGTGTAGCCATGGCAAATCTGCGTCGGATGGATGCAAAATCAGTTTTTGTGTTTAGGAGGAGAGAGAGGGAGAGAAGAGGATACTGATTCTCTGTAGAGGAGCAGCAGGCCAAATAGTCCTTTGGACTAGTAAGGGCAAGCAAATAATGTCGGCGCGAAAATACGATAAAAATACGATTACTAAAGATTATTAGTGTCATTGGCAGTTTTAGTCTAGCGGTATTTTGTTTTGACAAGCGAAGCAGCCCTAATGTATTAACAATGCTTCTGGTACGGTACGTTTTACACTTTGTGCCTTCTTGAAATTAAAGTGAACCTATACGCCTAAAGGCAACCCCTCCCCTGACTGTCCCTTAAAGCCACCTTTTACCTACCCTTCTACTACCCTCGTCCTTATACCTTTACTTATTACGTCTAACTAGTATAATTACCTAGGTAAAGAGAATTAGGTCATAATGGAGTTACGAATAATCTCTTTCTAAATTCCTACCTCTTAAGACGTAGAGAAGTACTGCAGGAGGGGAATATAGATACCTCCAGGCGGGCTGGCTCACTTCAATTCTAATGAGGCATGAAATACCTTTACCGTGGACACTAATAAAACAAATACTACGCTTGCCCAAGATCATAAGGGGTTTCCATATAACCTGTGCATGGAATTTCAAAGCATCTTAATACACATTACACTTATGTACAGGGGAGATGTGATTATGGATAGAATAGGAAGGGGTAATCAATAGGTACAAAACACTTTGAAAGTAATTAACACATTAGTCCAGATGAGCCTGAAAACAACATCCATAAATCATCATCCCTACATTTACCCAGAACAGGTGTCTATGTAGGTTCCATTTGGCAGTAAATCCTGGTTTGTCCACCCAGAGTCGCCGCCTCATCCGGGAATCAACCACGGGACGCCCTCTACAAAACGCCTCCACATGATACACATCAAGTCCCAGGATACGGAGTGACATTATTAGGCATGGGCTCTGTCTTTGATCGGCCAAAGATCGATAGCCGAGATTTCGACCGGTTGGGAACAGGCCCTGGTCGGACAGCTTCTTCACTTTCATTCTCGGGTTCAGTGGGGGCAGCAGAGGGAGTAGCCCTGGCCTCCTCTACCCTTCTCACACCGTCACGTATCTCTTCGGAAGAGGCACCCTGGGGCGCTGTGGTTGTCAATGTCTCAGTGGCACGGATTCTTTCTGCGGAGGCGTCTTCATTGAGCTTGTTAATTTCTTCTTCGGTCACGAGACGCTCGTTCTCGAGACGAACTTCCCGTCCGCGCTTATGGCAGTACCATAGAACGAACAGGAGAACTAAGAGGTAAGAGAGTTAGCATCTGTATTTGGTGGTTTAGCAGAATACTATACTTACTGAACAATGCCAGTGACCAGAGCACATTCATACCCATCACGGCAGGGAATCGAGCTCGCAAAAATGCCATGATCGATCGCAGCATACCAACAAGGGCAGCAGGCTTCGACACAAGCTCCTTCAGACTTGGCACGTTGATGCCCATCTTCTCTGCAGCGGCAGCTGCCTTGCCCACGTTCTCCATGCTGACACCGCTCTTCCCAGCTCGTTCAGCGGCAACAGCCAGCATCTCCGGGGCCAGAGTCTCGGTCCAACGTTCAGGAAGCTTTTCGATAAGCTTTTGCATGGGCCCAGGTAGCTTTGTATAGGTATCTTGTAGTTGACGATTCCCGTTGGTCAAGAGCATCTCCAAGTCATGGTAGGCAGTCGGCACTCCATTGATCAAGTCCTTGAAAATAAGCTTGAATTTGCGTAAAAGCTCCTGTGTCTCGTCGCTGATGGAGAATACGCGGTTGTTGTCTGCGGCTAGGTTCAACCGCTCGAGAATGTCCGTCATGTCTTCTGCATCCTTGTCCTTCTCTGCACTTTGTCCGTTGTTCGAGGTATCCGAGGTCGCGGGAGGAGTTGAGGTTTCTATCTGTGCCTTGGTTGACTCGTTGACATCTTTGTCCTGTGTATGGGAGGCCAGATGTTAGCTTATGCCACACTGGGCACAATAATTCCAGATGACGAACTGACCTTCTTCTCCGTATTCTTCTTCCAGAACATAGCGCTCCATCGCTTTTTCTTCTGGGGTACTTTGGTGGTTTCAGTCTTCGGTGTATCCGATCTCGTCAAAGCCGGTTGAGACCCCTTCCGCTCACGCCTTTCCTCCTCCCCAAGCTCCTTTCCAAACTCCTCTACGGGTGACGTTGGTAGAGGGACATTCACAGCATCCTCACTTGTCGCTGCTTGCTGTGAAGCCTCAGCAGGAGCTTCGGTCAGAGTTTGCTCCTTGGGCTCCGTTGCAATCGGCACAGTTTCCTCTTCGGCGGTTAATCCACGCAGATAGGCTTCATCTTCGGGCGAGAGGACAGGCTTGGGCGCACTGGTCATCTGCGAGGAACGACGGCGGTTCTTGATCTGATTGAAATACTCCATGGTGCGTTGGTGAGATTACCCAGGTGGCAGGGGCAGCAATGAAGGTTTTAATTTCTGGGCTTTGCGGTAGGCCCAAAAGAAGCGGGCGCGTGCTGCAGGCAAGGGGACGCGCGCGCTATGTCTTTTGGTGATAGATCAACTTCGACAGCGCCTAGGCCAGATATTTGGAGAAAATAGTCGACGAGTTAGAGGCGTGAAAAGTCAAGTCAGCATTGTTTTGTTTTCTCGTGTGAGCTCTCCTCGTGATGATATCACCGGTGGCTCTGGTCCCCGCAGGTCCCACCCCTGCGCCACTGCATCATCGCACCGCCACATCTAAGTCAAAGCTTGAATAGTTCCAAGGATCTGGATACTGAACCATGTCTGTATTTTAACCTCAGGCTTGAGTTCTATCTAGCATAGATTGCTGAATATCTAATCATGTCTCTGTTCTAACCTCAAGCAAGACTTTTATCTAGCACATTTAACTTAATATATAATCCGCAGTTTGCCATTCTTTGGCTGATTATTTATTGGACTCACACGGAAACCAAGGATGCACAAGTGACAGGTATTAAGAGAAACAATGCGAAGCCAAGTGACTCCAAAACCTATGCCACAGCCGAAGTACGTCTCCGAAACTTGGATGGTCACAAAGATTGGGCATGCCCTTGAAACTTACGTGGACGTGTCTACTCTCCACCTAGCTAGCAACGAGCATTACACTCAGGATATCTCGGTTTCAGTTCTCCCGTTTCTTCTAAGATATAATACATGCAAAGAGAACTTCATGCAATTAGGGCAACATTGGCCGAAGGGATGTAGTGCTAAGGCCGTAAAGGGTCCACCCGGAAGTCCCATTCCAAGAACTCCTGAATAAACATGTTTACATTTATTGAGTATCAAGCTCATGCAGGACCCATACATATCATTGCAGCTAGAGAGCTATACGTCAAGTGAGTGTTCGATTGCAGTCCAATATAGACAATGTACAATTTGTGGGACTTTTGGCACGAGGTTCAAAGTTGGATGTCATTCACCAGTCGAGGGGTCAAACTCGCACTGACCATTGGGTAACATTGAATCGAAGTTGCGATCATGGTGCTTCCGGGATCTGTGTTCAATGTCCGACTTCCGGTATTTCCCCGCATGGCTAAATCGGCATATGGTATGCATACCGCATTACGGGGATACCCGTTGGCAAGAATATAACTGGGAGATCTTCCAGGCGCTGGACACCCATCGCTCTGCCGCTGTACCGTACGCTGAGATCTCCGATGTGAATGCTCCTGGAGGTGGGGAATTGGTCAATCTGGTTTCGAGGTGAGACTTTTGCCAACAAGGAAACTACTTCGCAGTTTCTTTCGAGTTTCTTTGATTTGGTGACTTGCTTACCTATACCACTTTTTTTTAGCTTCTATTTCGTCGAGGTGCTCAAGTACCTGTATCTTTCATTCACCGAGACGGGTGTTCTTAGTTTGGATGAGTGGGTGTCCAACACCGAGAGTCACCCCTATCTCATTCAAAGCAAGTACGCATCCTCTTAGGCCATCTAAGGAGACTCTTACCTAAGGCAATGGATCCTGGGCAATCTGTCCGTTACATAGACCTAGCTACCTTCAAAGACGTGGGGATAGCTGTATCCTAAGCATCCATACAATGACCGTACATCAAAAAGGAATTCGAGGGTGCGAGATTTGATATCCAATCCCCACATGATATGACGCACTATAAGCCCGTAATCTTCCGTTAGATCAATATCTTTCTCGCTAACGCACTACTGTCGAGATTGTGCAGTAGTTTAGGAATCTGTATCCCGAGGAGACGATATCCCCAGTGCCTCCTATATAATGGCCAGCCGAGGCTCGGGTTCAAAGTAAGATTAAAGATTAGCGGTGGTTTTGTCGAGCGGAGGTTATCGGCAATGAAGATTCAGAGGAGGTATATGCCGACTGACGGGACGAGCAATGCTAGCGAGGTCGCGTAGAACCGGAGCCCAATGCCCACCGAAATTATCACGGAGCTATATAGTAATTAACGTAACCGACTCAGATGATTAAGTTTGCGGATAGCGAAGAGGATGCCCGAATCTCTGTCTTGGCAATAGGTACATGCGAGATGAGAAGGAGTGATAGAGCGATATGCCAAGACTATAATCCAAACATCAGTGGAGAATATGTATGTTAATGGAATAAGTAGTATCAGTTGCGCTGCAATCGTGGATAACATTATAAATTCGGTGCGATGGACATGCTGTGTTCAAACAAAGATGGGTGTTCCTGCAGTCAATGTATGTACAAGTCCCTTCACAATTATTCTGAGGCCGGAACAAGCATCTGGGCAAAGTACCAAAAAGGCTGGTCAAAGCTCTGCATTCCCAAGACGCATTGCTCAGCTATTGTGGTTTAGTCTTCCCCGCATCTTCAATGGAATGAAGACGAGCGCCACCTGCGGACACGCTGAAGTATCTTCAACCAACGGTAGCCACGCATAGCGTTGTCTAATCCTGCAACAGCCTCGGTATATAGAACACAATGAGGGAAAAAACATACCCACCTCTGCCCTCGCCTAGTTCTAGCATTGTGGATGGTCGATAGATATGCAGGGACTAGAACCACATTGACACGGAGGCACGGTCAAGAGATCATCTGCACCTCACAGGCACAATGTGTAATCAGCCACCAAACCCCGCAAATTGGCAACACTAGCTTGCTGTGGTCTCTATTCTCTCCTATTTCCTTTGCTGAGAGGTCGGGGTGGAGAATGGTAGACATCCACACAGAAAGACTGTCTTGGGCTATAAGAATTTTTTCCCTTGAATATGTAGTTAATGGATTATTCGGTAGTTTTCACATTGTTTCTGTTATCAAAACATGGAATATGAAATGTGCAACGCTTAGAGATAATTACACTCCCCTTTCCCAGGTCCAGGTGACCTGTCGTCACTGGGCTCTATGCAAGACCCGTATTTTAATAAAGATGCCTGCAGATTGCAATCTATCTAGTTTCATAAATGGAACATTTCGTGGCAGCAAAGCCCCTCCTGATGAAAGCCTCGGTCCTCAACTGCCGAACCCTCAACTACCGATTGGTGTTCATCAAGAACCTCACACTTTCATTAGATATATGCAGACCAGACCTTTCCGGAAAATCTCTTCTCCCTTGGGTCAAAGTGAGGTTTCATCTATGTCGAGTCGGGTTCAAGCCCCATTCGTCGTTTCAAGGTCTCGCAGATCTAGCGTGACAAAATCATGAATGAAATTCGTCCAACGTGATCTATCAACTTGTTAATTAGATTAATACCGAAATTGAGCTAGGAACACCACACGATAACCCGCAGATGGAGTGTATATTGATTGGAAGACAGAACAAAACGTGCCATTCTGATCTCCCAAAAATGGGTCGGCTGAACTTCGGATGCCTGAAATCTAGTATCAATCTATCTAACATTCTAGATGGAATGTTGGCAACTGTGGAGTCTAGGAATTTCCAATGCCCGAGTTGATCACCTGTCCAAGCTTTGATATGTCGTTAACCGACCGAGGCTGTTTCGAGACCGATGACTCGTTTTTGAGGCAGATCCATCAACCCCACACCGTTAGTCTGCACGAACCGGTGATTTAGGCTCAACTTTCGACCCGGATTAGGATAGGTCGTCCGAAGCCTTGAAAGTTGGTAGCCACGTTTGCTCAACCGATCATCCTTCAGTTTCTATTTTGTACATCGCACGTCAGACATAGCAACTATTAGAGCATTGATTTGCTACCAATTTCAGACAAATGTGACTTCTTTTGCGAATATGAATGAACACGATTGCTTCAAATAATGTGTTTTCAGCGTCCTGATTTTTCATTCCTTCCGTCTCCACCCGGCCAAGGGCTCAAGTGCTAGAACGGAAATTTCCCCGAAGGTAGGTGTGCATATTTACCATGCATCAGTTTGCTTTAGCCTAACAAACCCACTTCCTGTTTCAGTAAATCCCTTGGATCCAAGCCTCGTGTTCAGATATCGGCATGGAGCCCGGGATGGATGGGGCGCACAGATGATCAGAATGAACCATCGGAAGTGTACCAGAAGTATTTAAAGAGGACGAAGGCCAGGTGAAATATTCCTTCTCCAGCAGACAACATTCGACTGGCCCATCCAATTCCTCTTGTTCAACCAGTATTTTTAAATCAACTCTTTCTATCTTTCTATTCAAAATGTTCTTCGACGCCCGAACTGCTCTGGCTGGGATTGCCCTGATCTCCCACGTTGTCGCCGCGCCTCTGCTGGAAGGAAGAGCAAGCTTAGGTATAGTACCCTAATTGCATGTTTTTGTTCCTACGGAGGTCACTCACCTTAATTGAAGACACATCTTTTTGGACTCCCCTTCATCGCGCAGCCCAGCTTTCCTCTGCTGCGTACACTGGCTGCACCGGCAAAGCTTTCGATATCACTGTCACAAAGTCAATTTATGATACCTTGACCGACACCCAGGCAAGAAATACTGTATGATTTTCAACCAGAACGAGCCTGACTTGACTAGGGATTTGTTGGGTACTCGTCAGAGAAGAAGACCATTGCTGTCGTCATGAGGGGCTCAACTACTTGTGAGACTCATCCTGATTCCATATAACACAGAAATTTTATTGCTAACCCCTGCAGTGACTGACATTATGAACGACGTCAGCACCACCCTCGTCACTCCATCTCTCTCTGGTGTTAACTTCCCCTCGGGGGTGAAGATCATGAGCGGTATCAACCGCCCTTGGAGTGCTGTCCACGACGGAATCATTTCCGAAGTAAAGACTCTTATCGCAAAGTACCCAGACTACACCTTGGAGGCGACTGGACACTCTCTTGGTGGCTCTCTGACGTACATTTCTCACGTGGCGCTGGCCCAGAACTTCCCCGAGAAGCAACTCACCAGCTATGCTATGGCTGCTTTTCCCATTGGTAACGAGGCCTGGGCCAACTTTGTAGGCTCGCAAGCTAAGGGTACTCTCTACCGTGGAAACAACATCGGTGACGGTGTTCCTGTAAGTTGTTCGAATTGTGATGCTCCAGACATCTACTAACGATACATCTAGAACATGTATGTCAACATTCCTTACAGCTTCAAACACTACGGAACCGTAAGTAGTCTCATTTTATTTCAATGCTTTTCCTGGGTATGCACGCAGTCACTTATCACAGCTCAATTTTCACAGGAAATCTACAGCTCTGGATTCCAGGCCACCACTCTCAAGTGCTCTGGGCAGCGCGACCTTTCTTGCTCTGCTGGAAATGGCATGTACGGTGTCACTGCCGGTCACTTCCAGAGCTTTGGTATTACCCTGGGTGCTGCTGGCTGTGGCTCCCTCCTGTGAGTTCCCAAACGTCTACTATGGAAGGCTTTTCCAGCCCCGGACGAAAAGGATATTTGGATTGTGGTTATACCAACAGTTAGCCAAGCCTGTTACTTTCCCCTCGCCGGCGATGGAAAAGTGGACTGCGTTTTGGTTTTCTGGTTTCCACTTGCTGCTGGCCATTCAACATGACTAGCATCACGAAATGTATTACTGTTTCAGTTACTAGTCAATGATCATTGTTATTGCTATCCCCCACCTATCTGTCAGCACATAAATATACTTGTCGTTAACGCGACATGGATTTCTCGTGATTTGCTTATCACTATTGGCCTCCAAGGAGCCAATATGACGTGAGCATTTAGCGCCGACATGCAAGTTGCAGCCACACATCTATCTGAGCCTCACAAGGCAGGTGACTTCGTGCCTAGTCCCATTTGATATCACCTGACCCCCGCATTTAAACCCCCTCTTCGTTCTCCCTTCCTCTTCTTCCTTCCACGCCTGCCAGAGTCGGTAAATATCCGCAAAGAGAATATCGTTAGAATTCTCGATTGCAAAGTTATCCCGGAACTGTGTCTTCCTCGTCTTTTAACTAAGTTTCGGAGGGACCTTTTCTGTGGAGAGCTTCCGAGACTCACATGCTACGTGTGCATGATAAGCAGCGTCACTCACTCCTTTATTCGACCAACTAATATCATTCTTTCTGATTATTATAGGTTCTTGCAGTCGCTCTTGGAGATTCTGCTTCATGATCTTTCGGCACTAGGTTCCCTTTTTGCCGTTATGTTCAAGCGCCCTTTCGCATCTAAGAACCGGGCGGGAAAGAACGCCAAGGTTGCTAAGAAAAGACACGAAGAGCAGGCGAAGGAGAAGGCGCATCAAAAGATGGACAGTCTCTCGATGGGAAGGTTAGTTATTATACGGTTCAGGCTTCGCGCCCAATAACAATAAGAATGCGGATTGTTGACATTGATTTGATAGTCCGCTGACCAGCCCCATCGTTACGATGATTGTGGGCGAGGATCATCGTCTCTTCGCCGCCCATGAGGATATTCTATCCGTGTCGCCATTTTTCAGTGCCGCCCTCAAGGAGCAGTTTCTGAAAGATGGTGCTAAGGAACTGACTTTGCCCGATGAGTGAGAATCGATCCCACCATGATTTTGGTTACAAATACTTATTATCAAAATAGAGAACCTGAAATCCTGTCATGCATTCTCGAGTTCCTGTACAAGGGCGACTATTTCCCCCGCTTGCTCCACGGTAAGCGTCGCCACTCTTGGTCCCTCGAGAACGCCCAGGATGTCAACGAAACTGGTGGCCGCGGCTCGAGCGAGGCAACCTTCTTCCACCCTGGAGTGGGAGATATCATCCTCCGTGACACCGTGGTGTACTGCACCGCCGAGAAATACGGCCTGGAAGAGCTCAAGCGCATTGCTCTCCGAAAGCAGGGCCTCCAGAGTGGAATCCCAGCCGATGTGGTATTGAGATCTGCTCGATATGCATATGATAACACCCCGGAGACTGATTCTCGACTGCGCGCTCATTATCTGGCTCTCATCATCCGCACCCGCAAGACCTTCAAGAGCAGCGGAACTTTGCAGATGGAGATGGAGAAAGGTGGCAAGTTATTTTTCGATTTGTTTGTGGCGATGTGCAACCACATGGACGACCTCTCGGAATTGCGGTACGATCCACCTTCTCTCTCGTTCTAGAACCCTTCCTTTACTGCTAACATCTCCTCCAACACTGAGCCATGAGTGCTTACACTCCCGCCTACTAGCACCAAGCGATCGCCGAGATTTTTCTAGGCGGTAGTCACATTTCCTTTGTATCAGATCGTGCCAATTGGAAATTGAAATTGAAATTGAACACGGGAGGCGTACGTTTTTTACCAACCAAATTGGCACCTTGGCAACGAATCTGAACTACTGGTCTGCGTTCTTGCTTTAACAGCAGATTGACCTTCACTTCTTTCGAGGTTGGCCGCCCTTTGGTTTGAAGAACCAACCCTATTCATTTTTAATTGGATCCCTGGCGTACGGTAACCTGCGTTGGACCACTCCACACTCCTTGACTTTGGCCGTGTTTTGGCCCCATTTTTGACAATCTCTGCTTGTTCTGCTGCGTTGATGTATTGTTGCATTTGTTTTCATGTATTCAATCCCTGAGGCAGCGGCATCATCCCCACTGCATTATCAGGTCTTGGATCACACGTCGATATGGTGATTGAGAAACAGAAATCGAGAAATACGGCCACCTCACACATGCTCCACGTAGAATTGTAACACTAAACCAGCCATAGACCATCAAAACCATTTTCTCTTTGGCATTTTCGTGCCGTCTCTTTTTCAATCGTCCATGTTGTTGATTCAATGGATTCAGGTCAAGCTGTGCTCAGTGACCTGATGTCAACGCACCTTGCTGTCATTTACCGTCAGCTACCTGGATCCCCTTCCGTAGTTCCTGTTTCTCAAATTCCGGTTCCAGCCTCGAAGGGCAAAGCAAGCTGATACTTTCGTACAAACACAGCTCTGGTCACATGAAAGTTGTTGTTCCAGTTTTGCTCCGATATTTGCAATTGGCAAGACCGAGACAAGATAAAAGGCAAGAAGCAGAAGACCAAAGATGCCCACGAATTTCCCTCGAAGCTCTCTTTTGTGATGCGTGATCAAGCTTCCTCGAAAACGCTTCAAATACGAAAGCTCACGGTCATCTCGGCCATCTTCCTTCCGAAAGTATTCCATTCACGAAAGCGAAGACTCGCTACACTTCGTCGGCATATTTAATCCCCTTCATCTTGCTTCTTCCTGCTTTCAGCTTCTTCCAACTTTCATTCTTCTTCCAACTTGCGTCTTCTCGTCCCGCTTCCTTCTTCTCCATTCTTCAACTATCATTGCTGCTTATTCGCTGACCAAGAAAACATCCATCCATCCTTTAAAGGCGGCAATTCAGACCATCTCCTTCGTTGTCTGACCGAAAAAAAAAGAGAAGTTCCATTACTTCCGGCTCAAGCTTGATTTTGGAGTTATCATACTCGAAATTGCGAGTATTGCATATCGCTCTTACACGCATTACGGGCTATTTGCTATCCTCCGTTATTCTCTGGTGTGCATCGCTCGTATTCTCCCTTACTTGTCTCGCCTTGGTTGCTTCGCTTACTATCTGCACTTTCGCACTTTGCTTCCATTCTGACGCAGCTAATGAGTCTGCGGGTTTCTTCAAGATCGAAATTCCTCTGCGTCTAAGACGAAACAAGAGAAGCTTCTACAAGCCTCGGTATTCTCGCTTTTCCTCTCGCGTACGCTCACTTATTTCTCGCCGTCACTTCAATTCCCAACCCTTAGTTCTTCTCTATCATTCCTATGCCCCTTTGAAGCCAATGTTCTCCCTTCCTAATGCGCTTCTATTTAACACTTTTTTACAGGTTCTCGCCTTCCACCTTCTGTTTTCTAAAGCCTCCTTCCGGTCATATCCTATGGTAGGTTTGAATCTCGAATATCCCAAAACAACGATCAACACTGCCGTGTCGTTCAGCCCCAATCTTTGGTCTTCTTTTAGGGCCATATCTGAAAGGTTCTCGGTGACATCCTCGAATACCTAACTTACGGGCCGTATTCGAGATCTCTTTTTGCACCCTTATCAAACCCAGGAGATTCAGCAATCTCTTTTTTCCACTACTCTCTGGTCTGATATGATTTCAAGGAGAGGCGCTCTATCCTTGGTCTCCGAATTGAAAAGCCTGGGCTAGCTTCTAACTTATATTACTAGATCGCTGGTTCTCAAAATGGCAAAATTCCCAGTCCTGAGCCAAGGGCTTAAACACCTACCGGAACCCCGGCAGCTTCAACCGGGCGAGATTGTCATCACTCGCTTCAAGAATTCAATGCGTAAGTACAGAACCGACCTCTGGGTTGGGGTCGTGATTCCTCAAACATTCGGTCCTTCTCGTCACTTGAACCGGCGGCCCACCACTGCGCAGCCTACAGACGGCCCTTGGACAACACACCTAAAGGATCGCATGTACCCTCTTTACCTTCCCGGTATCAATATGTAGTGAGTTCGGCCCTCTTTTTTTGTGCCCAAAAAAAGACCCTTCAAGTTTCTCTTTTTTCATTCAACTAAATGAGCGTTAACAATGGTTATAGTCGCTACTCCGGACTTCAAGACATCTTTATCTTAAATGACAAGACTCCGAATGTCTTCAAGCGCGCCAAGCGAGAGCTGGAAGCAAAGGTCTGGGACGACCTTATGCGAATAATCGGGTTTGCGCCTGCCCTGGACTGGTGGCTTGATATGGCTCAACAAGAGGCGGGAAGCAAGGGAAAGCGAGGCCGTGAAATGCGCATTGTGCTCCCGAGTGGCTCTGAGCACTACCTCGATGATGACGACGCCGATGTTGATGAACATGCGGAAGACCAGGATGGGGGCGAGGCTGAGTCTAATGGATCCGCAGATGACTATCTCCCTGACAAGCCAGCCACATCACCCTCACACACTGTGGAACCTGATAAAGCAGATGCGCCCACTTCATCCAAGGCCCAAGGCACTAATGAGGCTTCTGCGTCTGATAATACCAGACCTGCTAGGTTTTCCAATGCCTTGGGTTTTTTCTACGATGGCCGTGAATCTTTTGCCTTCAACGACAGGCCCTGCACTCCAGGCCAAGGAAGCTCTGTCGTCAGTCTCAGGGCTGGTCCTGCAACTCGAGACTCAGGCTCTCATCCATTTCAACAAGCTCAATGGATGACTCGTGGCAACTTTCCATCCTTCGATTCGAAGCCGCCTATCGGGATCGGTGGGGTTTCAACCAAAGAGGAGGATATACATAGGTTTGTTTGAGAACTCGGTGTGGCGACCAAGAACCTCTTTACTTACTATTTTATTCAAGCGCGAGTGATGACCCGGCAAAGGGCGACAAAACCTTCGACATGTCAGTACGCGAGGCATTTCAACAAATATTCCTCAACACTGATGAATCCACCTTGCTTCTGAACGCATTTCGGGACATCGTCACAGTTCAGCATCAGATCGAGTTTGACAAGATCCAATCGTTCTTGACCGAGGGAGAATTCTCCCCAAGGCTCATTCAGCTGCATAAACCCCAGTCATTTGCGCCAATGTCAGTAACTCCACACCAGATCGGTGACCAATCCTGTATTGGCCGGACGTATCACCTGGAAGGAATCAGCGACACCAATGACCTCGAGGCAGCGATTCTCAGTCTAGGAAATCTGTACCGACAGGCTCGGTGTTTCGAACTGGCAGATCTAATAGACCTGATCACTTTCAAGCTCCAGGTTGCGTGGAATTCGTATCCAGCTCTGTTTCATCTCAAGCCCCTACTCAAGATCACCAGTCTCATTTTCCCCGACGATCACTACGACGAGAATACTCATGATGTCCTTCAGCATTGGATGTTGCACTTCTTTGCTGAGACTTATGACTTGTTCAACTACGACTGCTCCGATATGTTCTGGTCGGTAATGCGCGCAAAGTCTGGACTCCTAGATGCCGTGATCATGGTGCGATCTGGGCTGATCTCCGAGAATCCGAAGCTGTATTCTGATCCGCAGGCCCTAATACGGAGCCGTGGGGTTGCAAAGTTGTGATCATGATCTGTTTTGAGATTGGATCTGTTACTAATGAGCGTGGGCAGAGACTCGATCTCAGATCTTAAGCGTCTTTTTTCATGTCTTTCTTTTCCTCTTTCGTGACTCCTTTTCTGGATGATTTTCTTGACTTTTCTTGCCTCAATGCTATTATTTACCACTGCGTGTATCTAATTTACGACATTGACATTCGTTATCGCTGAGTTGATCATTGCTGAAAAAGTTCAATGCATTGCTTCAACTTTTATTGTCGCTTTCCTAGCAGTTTTCACCCCGAAGTAGTGAAGCTTCACGTAGAAGGGGCTGCTATCATTTCGCGCTAGTCCCAATAACCTTTTTGGTTCATTGCTTCATGCACAATACTCAACCTAGCTGTGTTTATGGCAAATTTCGGCGATATTGAGACAGAAAATGTGTGTTTACCATGCCCGTTAAAGCGTATGATAGCCACCTTACTCGCATCATGTCCATGCAAATCACCTGTGTCGGCTACAAAGGCTGTCCCATCCAAATATCAGCTTGCATAAAAATGCAAGTCCTGACTACCGTAGCTCCCGTGCGGATAGCAGACTAGAGAATGGTAAAAGGTATACCATAAGAGTATTGGACATTGCTTTACCGTGGATTGATTTGCCAATTACTTCTTATAACTTAGTAGTCTTTCCAATGCTCTTGTCCACCCCCTCTTCGAATGCTATACTCCTTTTGAAATGTAGTTCAAGATAACTTGTACATGCACCAATATCGAATCCTAGAAACTAAGCCAAGATCTTAGAATACAGTGTAGTTAGAAGCTACAGGATTTACAGAAAGGACATTTTTTTTAAAAAAAAGGTTTCATTAGATATCTCGTAGGCTAATTCACAGGGAAAGATCCTAGATATCCATACCACCATGGATTCCTCTGCACAAAACACCGCGCACAAACCACCGCCATAAAGGGAGTATCACGACGCTTCAACGAGGATAAAAAAGAAGAAATTCAAGGAAAAGCAGAGGAAATTGCCAGGTGGAAACCAAGCGGAGATAGAAGCACAAATTAAAAAAAGACGAAAGATCTCATGAGAAAGAGCCGCTGCAAATTAGTACGCTCCGAAAGGAGTGTATCCTAGCAGTGAATAAAGCAGGGCATCGAAGTGGAAACGTGAGAGAACTTAGTTGCTGTCGTCAGCGGCAGATTCGGCGGCGGGCTCAGCGGTGTCAATTTGCTCCGTCTTATCGGCTGTTCCATTACCGTTCTGGGACTTCTTGGAAGGACGTCCACGCTTTGGCTTCTCGGTTTCATCGGCAGCTTCGTCCCTCTGGGCCTTCTTAGCGCGGCCACGCTTGGGCTTGTCGTTGTCTTCAGCAGCTCCGTTGTTCTTGGAGGCCGTGTTCTCTGGGGCCCTGTTGCGACGGCTACGCTTGGGCTCCTCGTCATCTGGTTGAGGGAATTCCTTAGGAGCGGCCTTGCGACGAGGAGGACGCTTCTTTGGCTCGGCTGCAGCAACGGGGTCCGTATCCTCGGCGTTCTCGGTGGTCTTAGGCTTGCGGCCACGCTTCGGCTTCTCCTCGACCTCGGATTGATCATCATCGTTAGTGTTCTTGGGCTTTGGGCCAGGCTTCTTGCGTCCAGCTGCAGGAGTAGCAGATGGGGTGGCGGCCTTAGCTTTGGGACCACCTTTCTTCTTGGCGGGCTTCTCCTCTCCGTCGGAATCAGCGTGGCCGCGCTTTTTGGCGGGAGACTCCTCTCCGGAGTCGGGGGCCTTGTTCTGTAATATTGTCAGTATATTGTGGCAATGTATGAAAAGAAGTTTCATAGACGAACCTTGGCCTCGGCCTTCTTGCCACGGACACGGAAGCCAGACTTGCCAGGGCGGTTGAGCTCAACATCCTGGATGTCGTACTGTCAGTGGTAGTCCATTGTGGGGATGCGATTGGAATCGATTGATTTCCTTACGCCCTTCCAGTCCTCGTCAGGAATGTGGCCAGTCTCGACGGCATTGCGGATTTTATCCTGAAGCTCCTCGCTCAGGTCCTCGAAGCCATCAAGCTGTTCAAAGTTGTATCCATCGGAGCCGTCAATCTTGAGGGACTCCTGCATGTTGGAAATCATTCTCGGAGTCAGGCAGCCCCTGAATCATGTTAATCTTTGTTCAATTCAATGAATCTTGCGCGATCCCATAGATCGAGCGAGGTATAAGAGGACGGAACAGGCAGAACTCACCAGTGACGCCACATCCAGGCTTGAATTTTCTCAGTATCGGTCCAGGTGCCGACACGGAATTCATTCTTTGGAATTTTGTCTCCGCTATCCTTGCATTCTTTGGTCTGGCAGCTAGCCCTGCCACTGCGGGCGAGCTCTGATCATAATGTTAGCTGTGATGTCATAAAACGGCCCCAGAAACAGTTCTTTAAGCGAAACGAGACGCGTAGACCAATGAGAAAAGAGAGAACACAATGAGCAGGATGACTTCATGGCATCTTGTTCTCTTGAGCAGGACTCAAGGACGCGAAGCTTCATACCCGTTTCACGCATGTTGCTGACACCCAAACAGCGCAGGGGACGCGAAAACGTGTTTCGCACAATGGAAATTCGCACAATGAAAATGAACACTAAGCGCGAGGAGTAACTCACCGAAGCGATAGGTAGGCATTGTAGCAATCGGAGGTGACGTTGGTGGGTGAAGAAAGAAAGTGGACGATGGTGAGATGGTCTGACTTATCGTACCTTATCCTGGCACCCATGTGCTGTATCACAGGGGACTGGACAAGAACGAGGTCAAAGTCGACCGGAGATCGAAATCGAACTTTGGCTCTTTTTTTCAATTTCGCAAAGCAATTGTTTTGACTGTTCTGCCTAAGAAAACAGATGATGAAGTCAGGCGGTGCGACACCGCGGAATGTAAACTGCGGCACAACCACACCCACTTGCGGCTAAGTCAGCGAGAGGTATCAACCACGCCAATTACGCATGGAAGTGACTTTTTGGTGATACAATTGGGAGAAAATAAAAAGAAGAAAGCGGCAAGCAAAGTAACGCCCTTTTATCTTCTGGTTTGTCTCAATATTCACCCTTTGGCAATAGGCTTCTTTTATCAATGCACTGTCTACAACCATGCTTCGCGTCCAAATTCATGCTTAAATGCTGTATAGAACTGTCTAAAAAAGCTGTTTATATCAACCTTTTTTAAGGTGAACTGACCTTACAATGAATTTGATCAGAAGGTGAAGGCTAGTGACTTCGAAGTGCCTAGCAAGGAATACTAAATGGCACCACCCCGAATCAGCCTCAAACACCCCCCAAGACGAAGCAGAGATGATATACTGTGACGGCTCAGAACTATCCAATTCAGTCTTGAATCCCTCTCGAGTCACTCGGACCCAGAGGTGTCTGCTCAGGACCCAATTGCACCTACAATTCAACGTTTGGAAACACATAACCGCAGGATGAGAGTATAGATGAGCCAACCTGTCAAAACCAAAGAATCAACCCGGAAACGGAAGCGATACAGTAGCGAATCGGCCAAGGAGAAAGATCCCCAAGTCTTCCGTTCAATTCAATCCTCTTTTCAACAACAAATTTAACTAGAAGACCTCGAAAGCGCCCCGAATAAATGCAGACTATATATCCGTGTAGCAATCCAAGGGCATGAAGATTAGTGAGATACTCGTCAGCTTTCTGTGGATTAGGTGTATCTCATGTGGAAAATAGCTCCATAATCTGGGAGTAAGGTCCTTCCTGACCCACGATTCGCTGCTTTTCCCGCCACGTCTCGTTATTATACTAACTACTACGTCCCCAGTCAATGCTTCGGCCATGATTCGCTCCTAAATCGTTCAACAACTCAGTACCCAATAGCGCAAAGAGGCGAAAGAGCTAGGAGCGAGAAGGTGCTGTAGGACCATGACTTAGAAACCCAAGTCGCGACTGATTCGCTGACACATTGATTAATTAAAAAGCCGCAGGTCTTGAATATGCTCTAGATGAACCGAGCTATGCTCATAGCTGTCTAAGATGACGCCAACAACTTGCAATTAGTAGCAGGCAGGGCTATATTAGGACAAAAGTAAAGAATTTACTGATTATTCATTCGGTAATTCAGATTCAGAGACAATTCCCGCGCGGGCAAGTCTATAGTGACAGGATCAACATTTCACAAAGAACAGGCGCTCAACCCAGTATATAGCGCTAGCCGCTTTCGGTTAGCGGCTCCCGAAGTTGAAGGTCGCAAGTCTACACTCTCAACTAAGATTGTTATCCAACTGGCTCATCTTGCTCGAGTCTGACATTTGCACAACCCGACAAAGATACAACAAGGAAATAGGGGATAGTACACCGAAAGCCCGTCCCCGGCCTCATATCCAAAAAAATAATCCCGCAAAACCTCCCACTTCGCGCAAATCACCCTGGTCGCATACCCAACCAGAACCACAACCGTCACAATGTCCGAGCCAGGACCAGAATCGGTCCCAACAAGCGCCGACCCGCGCAGCAAGCGACCAACAAAGCGACGCGCCGTAACGCCGCACGCAGAGCACGCAAACCAAATCGAAACGCTCTTCAAAGACCCAAGCAAAGACGTGCAACTACCCAATTTCTCAACATCGCGCACATCAGGCTCGCTACCACCGCCACCGGAGATCGTCGCCAATGTGCAGGGTTCGTCGGCGGGTGCGGGATCCGGCGAGTTCCACGTGTACAAGGCCAGTCGGCGGCGAGAGTATGAGCGACTGCGACTGATGCAGTCGGAGGTTGATAAGGAGAAGGATAATGAGACCTGGGAGAAGGAGCGGGAGGAAGCTAAGCGAAAGGATGATGAGAAGACGGAGAAGAATCGGCGGAGAAGAGAAAAGAGGAAGAATGTTAAAGGGAAGAAGGGTGGTGCACAGAAGGATGCTGCTCCCACTGTGACGGGGTTAGCTGCTCCGGATATGGATACCAGTGCTGATGGGGTGAAGGGCGCAGAGGGTGCTGTGTCGCACGAAGTCCCCGGTGTTATTATTCATGATGATGACTAGATTGGGATATCTGATAGATGCGGGCCGTGTATGATACGAAGATACCCATGTGGAATTTGTTTTCTAGGATATTCGCACGGAAGGAAGAAACCTCAGAGGCAAATCGTGTAGCATTATGTACGGACCTCTAGTCCAAGGATCATTTTTCTTTTTCGTCTATCAATTATTCCTCGCCGCCACCGCCGCCACCAGCCATCTGTTGGGCAGACTTTCCACTGCAGATATCGTCGACGCGGAGGAGAAGACAAGCAGACTAGTGTATAACGTTAGTGAACTGTAGCAATGTTGTAGATATAGAAAATACGCATGACTTACTTCGACAGCGGTCTTGATACTCTGGAGCTTGACAGCCTCGGGCTCCCAAACACCGTACTCCTTCATATCGACCAGGTTGCCAGAGTCGCCGTCCAGACCCCAAGAGGTGTGGCCCTCGACGTGCTTGGCACGCAGACGGGTAAGCACACGGATAGGGCTGGCGCCAGCGTTCTGGGCCAATGTACGGGGAATAACCTCCATGGCATCGGCAACAGCCTTGTAAGGCCACTGCTGGACACCCTCAATGGAGCGGGCGAGCTGGCCGAGCTTCACAGAGACGGCCATTTCGACAGCACCACCGCCGGGGGACAGACGGGGGTGGAAGATAACGTTGCGGGCAACGGACATGGCGTCCTGCAGGTTGCGCTCAATCTCGTTCAAGATATCCTTGGAAGGACCGCGCAGCAGAATTGTGCAGGCCTTCGGGTTCTTGCACTGGCGCATGAATGTGAAGTACTCGTCACCAATCTTCTCAATCTCGAACAGACCGCAGCCGGTACCAATATCGGACTCCTGGATGTCGTCGACTCGGTTGACGATGGTGGCGCCACTTGCGCGGGCAATACGGTTGTTGTCGGTCTTTCGCACACGGCGGAGGGCTGTGATGTTGGCCTTCATCAGGAAGTGCTGTGCAAGATCTAGTAAACCTCGAATGTTAGAAAATCATCATGCGTATCTTTTAGGATGTTCGCTTCCTTACCGGAGACACCCTTCTCGGTGATAACGACGTCGGGCTTGAAAGCAAGGATGGCCTCGCACATGTGCTTAACCTGCTCCTCCTCAATCTGAAGCATGCGGTTCCAGTCATCCTCCTTGGAGATCTCAATGTTGGTTTGGGACTCGCCCTTCTTGTACTCCAGAGAGCAGTCGAGCAGGAGAATACGGGGGTTCTCGATTCTCCGACGCATCTTGGGATGCGTGATATCCTTGTTGACCATCACACCGTCGATAACCTCGGAATCCTCGATTTGACCACCGGGGATCTTCTCAATACGGGCGTAACGCTTGATGTCGACTTCTTGCTTTCCACCACCGACGTCGAAAGAGACTGTGCGCACAGCGGCCAGGGCGAGGCCGCACATGAGATCCGACCACCGAGACACGAACTTAGTTCCGATAGAGGACTGGATGAGGGAATACATGGCCTTGTCATCGGTGATGTCGACGGGTGTCGAAACCTCCTCGACGATCTGGAGGGCGTCGGCGAGGGCACGCTTGAAAGCCTGGATAATAACGACGGGGTGGATGTTACGCTCGAGCTGGGGGAGGGCCTGGGCCAGCATTTCACCGGCTATCAAAGATCAGTCATTGTCCATTACAATATCGCCGATGTAGTCATACCAAGAATGATAACCGTTGTGGTGCCATCTCCAACTTCCTCGTCCTGGGTACGGCTGAGCTCGATCATGCTCTTGGCCGCGGGGTGCGACACTTCGATCTCTCGCAGGATAGCATGACCATCGTTGGTCAGGACAATACCGCCCATAGGGTCGAGCAGCATCTTCAACATCGCCTTGGGTCCGAGACATGACCGGATGATATCCGCAACACTGGTGTTTACCGAATTAGCATCGGTCAGGAAGGAGAAAGGGGAATCGGGGGATAGCGTACGTCTTTGCCGCAGTGATGTTAGACAACTGCGCCCTACGGCCGACCTGACGGTCGCCGGCATTGGTGTCTGGATGACATGTTAGCACGTAAAGGGGATCAAAGCAATGGGGGGCATCGAACTCATCACCACCACCGGAGCCTGCATCTTGGCGGTGATTTGTCGGAATTTGAGCTGGAACTAAGGGTGGAGTAATCTGGTTGATTCCTTCCAGATATCAGAAAATAATCCACGAAGATAAAGGACAATCCAGGAGTTCCGACTTCAACGCTGTTCGCCCGCATTCCATCAAATTTCCAGGCGAAGTGGGAGCTCCCTCACGCTAGTCCAATTACGGCTAGCGCCCATCCCTAACAAACTAGACAAACATCCGTACTACATACAAGTTAACAACTTACCCGCAATTTTACTACATGTATTTAAACTGGAGAGGACTGAAGTTCATGTTATTATCATGTTATATATATTCATTTCGACTGGCCAAATCCAGACGAATCCTGCTGGACGTCAGATTGTACAAATGAGACCAGCCTCGACAAGACTGCAATCTCCAACTTCAACTTGACGGTATAAAAGGTGGTTTTCAGCACAGTTTGGATGATATACAAGCCCAGAAATTCCAACACAATCAGAGATATATCCATCAAAATGATAGCAGAATTGATTGCCAAAAGCTGATACATGATGTTTGTCTTCCGTTTGCTCCTGGTTGGGTAAATGCGTAACAGTTTGACAGTCTGCACAATGAATATACTGGAGATGATAATCTCCTGGACAAAGAAGACGGTGAGTTGAACCTTCTCCCATATATTGAAAAATCGACCAAATGCAAGGCCACAGGCATATACAACACCATATGAGGCAATTATCTGAGGGATTTGGAAAACAATTGCGTCAAAGATGATCATACCCAAGACCAATTGAAGAACTCTTCTGTTTTGTTGTACAAGATGTAGCCGGGAGTAGAGAACCAGTGACTGTCCAGTCACCATAATACACCATCCTGCAGTTGATAGTGTAACCGGGACCCATATGGGCGCGAGCTGGAAATATTTCAGAAGCAAGCCCAGGGCGTCGGGGATCACGCCAAGGAGGGCTGTGATGAGAAGACTCCAGAAGTAAAGCCCGCGGTAGATATGGAATACTGAAAAGACCAGAATAATCAATTCCAGCGCGCTGTAGAGGGCAACGCTTAACAGGCTGACAATGAAGCCCTGGAGAGCGAAGCTATTGCCGGTGTATGAACCTACGATCCCCTCGACGGGTGCGGAACATTGGACCATGTTGAGCGTATGTCGCCTGCTTCAATAAGCAACACCGGTTGGAGGCATGCCGCATTCTGTGGAGTGTTTGCAAATGCATGAAAACTTCAATCAATCCATGTATTCAGATATATGTCGTCAGCATCGGCCCTTTTTCCCTGCACGTGACCGACCGATTCCATGGATCCATGATGCTGAAGTGGCGGCCATAGCGATGTCGGAGATTAGTCATATGTTCAAACAAGGGAAGGTGCAGTTAGCGTATCGATTCTATCCTTGGAAAGTTCGATCTGCCGCGACTTTGCGAGCGGCCGGTGTTTTGCTGGGCGGCATCACGTGCCGTCGAGCCCTAAGCCAACCCCTATACACTTTTTCTCTGTCGCTTTCCGTCCTTCCGGAATTGTGTTGCTGGGTCAGGTAATGACCTCTAGCCATTGTATCGTTTGTGGCTGTCATTGGCAACCCCACGCAGAAGTTCGATGAACTAGGTACATCGTGGCTCGTAAATCATAAGCTAGTAACATTAATCCAGTTAGTATATGGGCAACAAACATCGATGTTCCATACCTGTGTCGAGTGAAACTTGTAATAAGTCAGAACTTACCGGGCTTTTGATCCCACCCAAACATGAACTACCAGAGCCATGTGTGTCTGACAGGGGCCATTGTATCATCTGCGACTATCTCTGAAATTCCACACACAAGAGTATAGATCGATTCATAGGTGATTTCGAGTGTACCGGAGGCATCTGGGCTTGTATTCGTCATCTAAGAAACGCCATTGTGTCAGTATTCGTTGATCAAATGGAGCACAGAAGAGCTTCATGGTCTCTGTAAAAGATGGATGTATTCTTCGATGGCCAATTCTTCTCAATGAAACTCAAGACTTACCGATGGTTCAAGAAATACATCTTCCTCTAGGACGCGCGGGGAAGAAGGAAGATTTATACGGGAGGAGGACCAGAGTAAATATTGTGTGGATGGGCGCGTCGCGTGGTTGACCAAGCAGCGCGCATTTCTCGAACTTATATCATCTCATTCTGCTACTTCTACTTTTTTTCTTCATTCACCGCTGTTAACCCCCAATGCTATCGCTACAAAGCCTACAGGCTGTTGTGGATGAGGATTTGGAGTTTCCATGATGTCAGCCCACACAAGTTATTACTTTAACCCTACTAATGCAGCTTGTTATTGCTGCAAACTACTTTTGTCGGGAGGATTTTGACTCCTACAGAATTCATTCATAGATCCGGATGCAACATATCGTACATGTATTGACAGGGTACACAAACTCGACAGCTCAGGAAAGCTGTGATGCAACAGAAAATGGACAGGCTAGATCAATAATCAAACATGTCTCATTGTACATGGTATCATTTCGTGGACATACAATCATTTGGTTTTGGTTTTTTTTTTTTTTTTTTTCTTTCGTAAGAGTAGAGCAGGATGCTGGATGTCGCATTCTTGCCAGTGTGAGTAAAGCAAAATTGAAATCATTTGCGTCTGAACCCATGGCTCAGTCTGCGCAGGCCCTCTCGCACACGAGAACGGGAAGGTCGAGATGCAGACTCTTGGGAATGGCCTCCGCTGCGTGCGGATGTTTTTGTACGTGTCAACACAGGCCGTCCAGTTGTGTCAATTGTGAGCAAGCCTGGTGGACTGGACTGTGGAACCCTGGCGGTTTGTCTGCGGGACTTTTGCTCAGGAACAAATGCATTGCGCCGCTCTTGACGGGAGCGCCGAACGGGGTCAAACATAATTGCATGCATCTCAGGTGTCCATTCTGCCTGGGCTGAGAAAGCTCCTTCATCGTGGCCCAGAAGTACTTCCATAGAATGGAGTGAGCGCGACTGACTGGAATTGAGTGACGGTCTGCTTGGTGAAAATGGTGGCAGCAATTGACGTTGTGGAGTAGCAATTGGAGAACCTCTGACCGTGCACTGAGAGGAGGATGGGCTCAACTGATAAGGAGGGGTGGATGGCAATTCTTGAACAATATTGTCAGTTGGCGACTGGTCCATTGGGAATAAGTAACCGTTTGATTCACCCCCAGAGCATGGCATTGAACGCCAAGAAGGTGTCCGAGGGATGTCACTCATGCTACCGGTTGGTGAACGTGGCCGAATACGACGAGGAGGTGTTACAGGAGTGACTGTAGTCATGGCAGTGACTGGAGATCCTCCAAGGGTACCTTGAGAAGCAGGTCGCTGCGTACACATAAGTCGTTCCTCTAACTCATCATCGTTGAGGTCGCTCAGACTCTGACCGTAACGAGGGTAGAATCGAGGCTCATATGGCGTGAGAATCGGGCGGCGAGGAGGGGTCACTGGAGCCTGATCAACGGGAGCTGGAATGACTGGAGCTTCAGCAGCTGGACCTCGAACAATAGGAAGATCCTCGGGGAGCAGACCATCGTATTTCCACTTTTCAATCAAATCAGGCCGCAGAGCTGGATGAACCCATTTATTTATCAAATCAATCCCCCGAGACGGATTAGCCTTGGACAAGTCTGTCTTGGTCGGTGCCTGAGATGATTCGATAGTTCGAGTTGGCTCAGGCTTAGGGAAACCGAAATCAAACTGAGTGACATCGACGCGTGGAGTAGATGTCCCTGAGCGCAGAGTTGGTGCATCGAACTGACCATTTCGGTCCCATACTGTGTAGCCCTGGCCGATAGGAACATTGCGGTGCAGCCAGAGTCCGTTTGATTCGGTCGGCGGGTTATCTGAAATGTTCTGTGAGGATTGGGCGAAGTGATTCGGACGGCCAAGAGGCGCTGATGCAAGCCATGTTAATGGTGAAGTAGGTTGAAGGTTGTAAGGGTTCATTGGCGATGTAGGGCTAAGACTTTCATCTCGGGTCCCAATCGGACTAGGAAAAGGGCTCTCATGGTCAGTCAAGCTGGTTGGGCGGCCATGCTTGAGCAAAGGACGAGAAGGGCTTCTCTCAACAGGATTGGCACCAGGGTATCGAGATGAGAAGTTTCTCTTGGATGGATCTCTCGGTTGGGGGTATGATAAGATGTCAGACATCCCAATTAGAGGAACTTGCGTTTGCAAGCGAAGAATGCGTTCTTCTTGCATCTCTCTCATGTGCAACTGCAAATGTTGGGGAAGCGCTGATAGTGCTCTTTCGTTCAAAGGATAAACCACTTCCTCTTCTCCGGAAAGGGTAGAGGACAAAGATGTGGTGGAAGGTGTGGACCGATACCGACGGCGACGTTCTGGGAAATCTCTGTTCTCCAGATTAATGCCTTGAGAAGTGATCTCAGAAGGGACTTGGCTTTGGAATTGGTAGAATCTCCGATCTCTGAGATTGATTTCGGCTTCACCTCTGGCTTGATCATTCGCCAAATCAACCATGAGAGGTACGAGAGAGGAATCTGGTTCAGTAGAATCAGGAAGAGACAAGTGTGCACTAAAACGAGAATGTACCATGATAAACAGATCACAGGAAGACAAGAAAGGATGAGGACGCGTATGAAGAGTAGAAGACGCGTACAGGAAGAACAAGCAGTACGCGCTAGAGGAGAACAAATATTTTGATTCATATTGTACATGGGGTAGTTACAAGATCGTTCCTGCCATATGGGCAGGTTTCCTCGCATCAGGGCTCTTGGGCCTTGGATTTATTAATATTCACGACTCTCTCCAATCTCACACACATCGAAGACACCGGTCTCGGGGATATTGTGACGCTTAAGTGCGTCCTTCAACTTCCTTGGGGGCTCAAGGACATCTTCCTCGGTAAGAACCCATGTTCCCCAGTGCATAGCCAAGGCATTCTTGCATTTGGTATCCTTGAACATTCGCACGGCATCATGAGGATCCGCATGCGCAGCGCTAAAGATATGGCGAGGAGCGTAGGCTCCGATGGGAATGAGACCTAGATCAAATGGACCTCGGAATTCACCAACCTGCTTGAAAGCAGGGCAGATAGGAAAATTATACTTGGGGTCCCAATCATCTTCTCCCTTAGGTATTTCGTCCACCGCGCGGTAACCGGAATCTCTATACCCAGGGTTAGACAGCGGCCACGTGACAGTCACTGCCCTATTTGGATTTTCACTTACCCAGCGAAATACACCTTACTACCACCGGACTCAATAGCCCATGATGCCCACAGAGTCTTGCATTTGTCGAACGGGCCGCGAGCCGTGATGTGTTGGCAAGGCATGCAACTGATACGCGCTTTGATATCAGCCGCCCTTGAAGCCTTTCCTACCGGCTCAACCTCCGTCGCCTTTTCCTCCGCTGGAGACATTGCAATATCTCGCTCATCCCACCAATCCAACTCAGTTACATTGTAGATTTTGGAGTCATGGAACCACGATTTGTTTCCGAGGGGCGCGAAGAAATGGCAATTGGGATGTTGCTTGGCGATTTTACTGACGGTAGGGTAGGACAGATGATCATAATGGTTGTGGGAGATGACGACAGCATCAATGACAGGGATATCCTCGATCTTGCATGGGGGGTCGGTATAGCGCTTCGGGCCGAAGGAATATGGCCCACAGCGACCGTCAAATACAGGATCGAACAGCACTCGGAGCCCGCTTGGGAACTCAACGTAGTAGCATGCATGTCCAAGCCAGGTTGCCCGAAGCTTGGGTGTGTCTCGACTAGGAAGGAATTCGGGCTTGCGAGTAGCTGGAGGTGTCATGTCGGGCGCATTCGCTTCGCCTTTCAATCGTCGAGAGCTAGAGCTTTAAATTAGATCTAATTTGATTGGAGCTATTGTTATTTTCCTCACAGTAGCATTCCCATGATATCCTTGGGACTGTGATCGCGATAGGACCTGCCGTCCAAAGTTTCTGGTTAGTGCTCGGCGCGAACTGCAGGAGACTGCAGGAGGCTAATACGTACTCCCATGGATTTCTGAACCCAGACTTCGTATGATGAGTCTTCTCCAATACATCTTCAGGTCCAGGTCGCGCCGGGGAGCTGGAAACGGTCAGTGCATACAGCACTGTCGCAGCAGTGGGGGTAGTCATCTTGCGTATTGTCGAGTGAGGAGCGCGTTGGTATAGAGCGCGCCGACTGAATGGCGAATGCTGGAAAAGAAATCGCATGGGGTGCAACTTCATTTTAAACATCCGCCTGGCCCACCAAAGAACAAGAAGGCGTCAGCTTACGCAGAAGAGAAGAAGGGGAAGTTGAAGCAAAAAAGCCACTTCTATCCCCGATAACTCCGACTCGGGGCATTTGGGCCCCGACGGGCCCATGTGAATGCCGGACCGATCATCGACAGGTGGGATACGAGGGCGCCACCCAAGATAAATCATGTAGATATTCTGGAATACGAGAAGCCTTGTGTAGAGTACAATCTTTGTACACTCCAAGTACTGTAAGTGCTGTCATGTGTTCACACCATGTCGGGCGGTCGGCCCGTTGTAACTCCGATAGTCCTCCTTATCGATAATTCCTGCCACTTGCGACTCTCGCACCAACTACTGGCATGGAGCCAAATGGAGTTTCCAGTCCTGCGCCTGCGCCTTCTGCAGGTGATTTGATTCTCCAGCAGAGAACCGAGGCGCTGCAGTCCGCGCAGAAAGGCGATGGGAGCCTGTTGTCACAGCTGACGAGCAATCCCTTGTTCACCGCGGTAGGTGATAAATTGCTCGCTGATTGAAGTCGACTTACTGACATACGGTCGCTATTAGGGTTTCGGACTCGCTGGCTTAGGAGCTGGATTGACCTTCGCGCAAAAAGGTGTCCGACATGGCGCCGCACTTCTCCGCCGCCGGATGCTGGTGGACGTCGAGATCAGCATCAAAGATGATTCCTACCCATGGTTTTTACATTGGATGACCCTCTATCAGCAGTCACAGCTCAATGCAGGCAAGGCTGCAGCGAATAGCACCGGTTACATGGACCGCTTCCTACAAAAAATCACCCCCGGCATGCGCCACCTCTCCATACAAACGCAAAAAGTCGAGCACTCCAACGGAGCTATCCACACACATTTCTCACTGGTTCCGGGGCCGGGGAAACATGTCCTTCGATACAAAAACGCATTTGTGTTTGTCAATCGTATGCGCGAATCGAAGTCGCGTGATATTCAAACCGGAAAGCCCTGGGAAACAATCACCCTTACCACCCTCTACTCTCAACGCCACATCTTCGAGGACCTCTTCACCGAAGCCCACGCATACGCCGCCAAGTCACACGAAGGCAAGACCACCATTTATAACAGCTGGGGAACGGAGTGGCGGCCATTTGGAAACCCTCGTCGGAAGCGTCCTCTGGAATCCGTTGTCCTGCAAGAAGGAGTCAAGGAACGGATCGTGGAGGACGTAGAAGACTTCATCTCTAGTTCATCGTGGTATCACGATCGTGGTATTCCATACCGACGAGGGTATCTTCTATATGGGCCCCCGGGTACGGGCAAGAGTTCATTTATCCAGGCGCTAGCAGGCGAGTTGGACTACGACATTGCCATTCTGAACTTGAGTGAGCGCGGTTTGACTGACGACCGGTTGAACCACCTCCTCACTATTGTTCCGAACCGGACCCTTGTTCTTTTGGAAGATGTGGATGCCGCATTCTCGAACAGACGCACGCAGAGCGATGCAGATGGCTACCGCGGAGCCAATGTCACGTTCTCGGGATTGCTTAATGCACTGGACGGAGTCGCGAGTGCAGAGGAGCGCATCATTTTCCTCACTACCAACCACGTTGAACGATTAGATGAAGCTTTGGTCCGTCCCGGTCGCGTGGATATGACTGTGCGCTTGGGCGAGGTGACTCGCTACCAGGTTGGCTGCCTCTGGAATCGATTCTACGAGGAGCTCGATACCGATGGGGTTTACCGCAAGATGTTCCTGGACCGGCTCCAGGAACTTGGTCTGATTGAAGATGAGGCTGGTCACAAGGCCGATCGGTCCTTGAATACCAGTGCTGCTGCCCTCCAAGGCTTGTTCTTGTACAACAAGGGCAACATGGAGGGTGCGATCGCCATGGCGGAGGGACTCACCTACACCGCTCATACTGAGGCAGTGGGCCACGACCAAGGAAAAAGGGACTAAATGTACACTATCGTGTAAATAAGATCAAATGTATAGATATCCAGTTCACCCAAGCATTAACTGGGATTCAAACACCCGCAAATCAAAACGTCGGGATCACCTGGGGTAAATCTCGGGGATTTTCCATGATCGGCCCACCATGATTTCTCTCACCGAGTAACAAAATACGAGTCGCAGCTATTTAAACGTCAGAGCCCTGTGCCCCTCCATTCGAATTCACCCCGCATCAACATACTGCATCATGGTTTACACTATTGTCGTCCGTACGTGCCATCCCTATACGTCCAACATCTTCACTGTTAACCATTTTAGACCTCCGCGCTAAGGCCGATGAGGAGTCCATCTCCAAGCTCAAGGCCAAGCTTGTGGAGGCCTCCAACGTTTACTCTAACGACAAGGAGACCATTTCGTGGTTCGTCATGCAGTCCGTCTTCGACAAGCAGGACTTCACCATTGTCGAGCGTTACGAGAAGGAGTCTTCCCAGGAGTACCACCTCAACAACCCTTACTGGAAGACCTTTGACCCCTACGTTATTCCTCTGCTCGAGAAAGATATGGATATGCACCGCTTGGAGGAGTTGGAGGGCTCTACTATGTAACTCAATTTTGTGACATAGGAAAGAACATGAATTAAAATTGCATTTCACATACTACTCGGATACAAGGGTTCCTTTTTGCGACTCCAAAGATTGTTCATGAAAAAAATGAGCATGAAGAATTGGAGATGGACACTGGTTATTGGATCGTGGTTGGCCGATCGTCATATTGGTTGCGCCAATAAGTATGCTTTTCATAGTCACAACCTTGGTTCTTAAGCGCCTCTACAGAGTCTATCCAAGATGCGAAGTTGGACGTCATATCACCATTGTATACTCCGAATTCACTAGATCCGACATGCAGGGTTTAGTGAGCTAACTCCCCGACTTCTTCACAGCGAAAATAACCAGCCAATCTGATGGCAGACTTGCGGTAATTATAGAATCTCCAAGGCTCAACCACCAATCAACTGTCAGGGTCGAAGCGCCGCTACTGCAGAACGAGGTGCCTATCCCAGGACCCCGGCCAATCACACCCATAATGAGTTAAGCGCCCACTGTATAAGCAGGGTTGTCACATAGCTCAGCAAGCCATGTTCTCTGTTTGGTTTGTCGAGATGAGCACTTTTTCGGTGAAGATGGGGCTATATCTCACTCATATTCCCTGCAGTCGCGCTCTGTACTTCCTTTCTATGGTGTCTTATCTCTGCATTTGATCCTTCTTAACCGGCACAATGAGTGCTAAAACGAACCAATTTCAACTATTCCCGCCTCCTGCGGCTGAGGTCAAGAGGTCTAATAATCCGTTTCGAAAGCCCGGGAAGAAACCAGCTGTAAAGGCTGAGCCAGGCTCTCCAATCCCTCTTGAAGAGATCAAAGACCCTGCGAAAACTGAGTCTCTACTGCTTCAGATAATCGAAGATACTCAAACGATTCCACCTCCACCACCTGGAAATCCCGAAAGATCCAGATCGCCGCCTTCATTGACGAAGACCGCCCATGATTCAATGTCCCCTCAGTCCATGCACAGTCAGAACCGTCAAGCTAAGAAATCGAATCATCAAACGGTGGTCTCACACAATAGCCATAGCAGTAGCAGTAGTAGCTATACTGCGGCATCCACTGTTTCTCCACAATCGTCGAAGTCTTCAGCTTCACCTATTCCTATGAGATCAATGTTCCCTCAATTTGATCCGAATTTGCCTGTCAAACAGCAGTCGTATCAAAAGCAGACGCCGAATAACTCACAGCTCACCAAGTCCACTCGCAAACCTCCTAAGCTTACGCTCACCACAAGTAACCATATTGACCATGTTCTTGCGCCAAAAACTGTGCCGGCCAGTGTCCTTGATTTTCCGACTGGTTCTTGGGAGCCAGAAGAAGTGAAATACTCCTCCAATGAGGAACTGATGATGCTGTGGGAAACTGCCAATGGGCAAAGGCCTGAGAATCTTGTCGGCACGTTGAATCTGCGGATGACAAAGTAATTTCCCTTATTCTATACTGTCGCAGAGGTACTAACTTCTCTCAAGGACAGGGCCTGCTACGTTCACACTCGGCAATTCCCAAAAGCCATTCTATACACTGCAGACATATTCCACCGACGAACTTTCCCTCGGTAGAAGTGACCCATCAAGACCAAATAACGACGTCCCTATCATGATGATGAGCCTGGAAGATCGCATTCGCCGCGAACATCCCAACGACGGCCTCGTCACGCTGCTCTTCTCAAGACTAGCTGCCATGCTAGCTATTGACCAAGCAGAAGAGATCAGCAAACAACATCATCTGGCCCCTGCTGAGGCATCCGAAATTGAAACCGATGCTTTAAAACGAGCCGCAGCGCAAGAGTCCTGCCGACTCTCCTGGAACCGCCATCAACGTCACTACGAATTGAGACACCCTTCCCTATCAAGACGTCAACAACCCGCTCTGGTCGGCGCAGCTGGTATCCCACTATCCCCAGTGCGCTCCCAGTCCTCGGGAATGGTCCACATAACAGTCTCGGCACCATCGAGCGATAGCTCACTTCACCAACCACCAACAATCATAGTGACGGGACCAGTATCATCTACAGCAATGGAAGCCGCACAGCAAGCTGCAAACCCTAGAACATCCACGCTCCCAGTAACAGATCTCGACGAACCTCTCGCCTCATTGGACTTCGGCACCAAAACACTTTCTATTTGCCCGGCAGCCGTGCTAGCAACTATCCCATCCCTCTACGCAATCGACTCCCTCGTCGCAGCCATGTTCGCAGTCGCCGTCTCAGACGAAGCCACGAACCCCATCCTGGCAGATATGGTCCTCGGCTCGCCTCAACCCCCGCGACCGACTACATCCCACACTGCCACGGCCCAGTCCCAGCCTGTTTTCCAGGGTAAACTGGTTACGACAATTGCAGAGCGTGAAGACGCAGCTGAGAGTATGTTCCTCGCATCGCAGATCAAATCTGCACAGAAGAAATCCAAAGATTCCTCGGACAGGAAAGGGTCCTTCGCTTTTTGGAATAAATCTTCTAAGCCGAAACCGCAGGACGGTAGTCGTGGCAAGAAGCAGCAGAATCAACAGATTGTTGTTGAGGAGTTTGATCTTGAGAAGTATGGTCGGTACGGAGGTGGGACGCGCGAGGGCAAGAAATTGCCTGGGATTACGCGTAGTATACTGCGGATCTTGTTCTTTGGTCTTGATCTTATTGTTAAGGGGTTGACGCTTATTGTTAAGATACTGGCCTGGTTGTTGGTTAATGCGACGCGGTGCGTTACTAGTGAGAAGTTTTGAGCTGGGCTTGGACTAATAATTGTGTTTGTTCTGCTTGTCGTTTTCGCTATATAGGTTGGTTTCTTTGGTATATTCATAGCGATGAGATGTTTGAAGACGATGGTTATACCCAATTTGATATTATTCTTTTTACGATAACATTCTTGAATGAAATGTGCGGTCATGTATGCATCCTAAGCCTTGATCATAGGTTCTCATACTGGCAATTTGGGCAACACTTCCACCCACAACTAACGCAGGTGTCGCTGACTGCCGCATTGTGAGGACCAAAATTGCAGTTGCAACAATACCGCAAAGTTGGGCCTCCTGAATTTAGAGCTCTTGAGATCATGGACGCCTTGGGGTATGGCAAGATCGCCTGCTACGCCCCGAACGCAACTCAGCCACATGCCCGATCATGAGGCTCTGCGGTGTCTCTTTTTCCACTTAACATGGACTTACCTGGACAGACACCAAGGCAGCCAACTATCCCGACCATGAAGACACCAACAATCAGCTCCATCCTAGCTGCAGAGCCATGGTACTATGACGACGACAGGCGGTGCGTCAAGTTCCGTGCTGACGGCGCCGGCGAGGTACTCCCATCCCCTGTTGTCGCAAAAGACGTGAGCTCAACACCAACAGATCTGGGACGGACACGAGACGGCCTTTACACTGGGCGCGAGCTTCGACTGGAGAGCCCTGAACCTCACAGCCCTAAACGAGGAGCCGGCGATCACTACAGGTAAGACTGCGAAGATTCTGGCCCACCTTAGCCTGGAGATCACCCTTACGGAACGCCGCTGCCCCTGTCCCGAGGGCTGGAATTTTGATGAGAAAACGCTCGAACGGATTCGGATGACCACGCCAAGTTTCAGGGAGGGCGCGTTCCAGCCCAAGACGTTTACTGTCCGCCTCGAGAGCGGGAGATTCGCCAAACCTTTTATGGAGGATCATGGCGGCGTGAAGAAATTCGGAGACCAGGCTCACAGCTATGCGCTATGGCTGGTATTTGACAGGTGCCCGTGGCCGTTGCCGGAGGACTATATCGGCGATCCTATTTGGGGGCATAAAACAGAGGTGACTCGGTTTGTATGTCGAGAAACGGGACTGTATAATTCGTGGATGGACGGTTGTGTCGCAATGTAGTCTTATAACAGATCTGGAGATTGACCTATAGGCCGTAATTGTGCTTCTACACAATTTTCTGCGTAAGTGGTCTATCACATGTTGCTCTTGGCTAAACGGCCACCACGGGTTTACATCCAGCGGGCCGATGAGGCTGTGGCTAGTGCGGACTGACGACAAGTCGGAGCTATTCATGCCGGATTATCTAGTTAAACTACTATGCCAGGCTCAACGCCTTTTATACCCAATGGGAACATCTCGATTGGGCAGCTTGAGCCTTCGTCCCATCCACGGATGAGCGAGAAGATCTCTCTCCGCCTGTACTAGGTGGCTTTGTTGTAGATGGTGAAGATGTGTGTTGAATGTAACTTTGCTATTAGCCCTGGGGCCTCTGCAGACTTTGACTGCAATGATGTGGTTTTTCAAAAGTCCGCATCTGAACATGTTTTGCGGCCTCTATGGGAAGAGTGCCGATTAGTCTGAGAACTTTCAACGCGGGGTTCAATTCCACAACTCTAAGATGATTGCACATATGTCTGTCTAATTCTATAATTAACGGAACGGCGGTTCAGTCGCGCCTGGAATTGCCGCCCCTATCCTGTGCAGACAGAGCTGCTTTTAACCCTTGAGCTAATTCGAACCTCAGTTCCAATATCCTGCGATATGGTGATAAACGCACCCAGAGACCACAATTAGAGGGCGACACGATAGCACTGCGGACCCTGGAGGATAGTGGACTTTGTTGACAGATCCTTGGCAAAGTGGATGCTACCGCGTCGCAATACGAGGGGCTCACTTCTCGTAAGACTCAAGCTCGAAGACCTTACTACCCTTCCATCAAAGCACTATTTTCGATATGCAGAGTTTCCGGGTATTTACGAGATGGAGAGGCATTACGCCGGCCGAGTCATCTCAAGGGGAGATCAAGCGAGAGCACACCCAGCAGGAGTCAGCACTTACATCAGTCTCGATTGAAGTGCCATCACAACGCGGGAAACTTCCAACTCAAAAGCAAGTCTGGACCAGCGGCTCATCTATGACTGGCATATTCGAAATGAATGATTCCAACAAAACAGTCTTTGACGCAGTCGTGGCACCAATTCTCCCGCAAGTCCTACAAGGAAAGTCTTGCAATGTCTTTGCGTACGGCCATTCCGGGAGTGGCAAGACACATACCATCGTCGGATACGAATATGAAGCAGGAAGTGATCTTGGGCTCTGTCTAGCCACAGCTCGTCAACTTGTCGAGGCCCTCAATCGCCTGAACGAACAGAATGCATGTGATCCACTAGGCGTTGGAGTCCGTATATATGAACTGCGAAGAAACAACGCATACGATCTTTTGAATGATCGCCGTGAATGCTTCGTCCGAGAAGGCTCCGATGGTCAAGTCTATATCCGGGGCAAGACGGAGATGCTCGAGAACGGAAAAGTGCGAGTGAAACCTATTGTGACCAAAGCATGCTGGAGCTTTGAAGACCTTTCTAGAGAACTCCAAAAAGGGCTCAAACTTCGCGCTACGGGAATGTCGACTGTGCATGATCAAAGCTCCAGAACTCATGCAGTCATCGAGCTTGAAATTGTTACCAAGACGTTGCTTGAGGCGCGTGACGCTGTGATTGAGCGAGAGTCTGAGCTGGTTCCTGTGGGCAAACATGCGACTGATGTTTATATTGAGGAGCAGAGCAAGGCTATCATACGAAACCCCGATGGTGGGTATGCTCCCAATCCCGACTATCAACTAGACCAGGTGCGAATCGATGCTGCAGAAGCTAGGAAAGCAGAGTTTGAAGCATTGGTCGATTTGGCGAAAGAACATGAGTCTCAAATCTTTGGTACTACAGCTCGCAAGCATGCATGTCTAGGAGGAAGGCTCGTTTTCGTGGACCTGGCTGGATCCGAGTACTACAATGACAAGAGCGGACTGAAAATGAACCAGAGCGCACATGAGAAGCAGATAGGAAGGCACATCAACACAGATCTGCTAGCTCTCAAGGAAGTCATACGAGCCCGAGCTCAAGGCTCACCCCGAATTCCTTTCCGATCATCGCCTCTTACCATGGTGCTGCGCCCACATTTTCAAGCATCTGAGGACTCTCACTCTGCTATGATTTTGACGGTCTCGCCATCGTCTAGTGAGTTTGCAGCGACTATGAATACACTCAAATATGGAAATCTGGTCGGAGCCGCGGGAAATACTAAATAGATATGGGCATCTTTCCATCACGTCACTGTCCAAATACCACCGAAATTCCAAATCCTCACAAGAACTTGCTTCCTATTTACATACGAGTAGTGGACCAAGTTTGTGACAATAGCCTGATTTATACGGAGGGTACGCGGGAGAGTAATGCAAGACAAGATATGACTGTTCAAAGTTGGCAAACTTCTTCTAGTTGATCATGACGGGGTTTTAAATGCCAAAACCTAGGATGTAGAGCTATAGTCAATTCCGGATGGAAGGCTCACAATGTTAGCATTAAAATATTGCGGAGCCATGGTTATTTGGCACGAATGCCTCTAAAACCTGAATTGATTTGATCAAAATCATGCACATACCATCGCATCGAAAATTGACCGACCACGGTCGGGTTTCCAATTGAGGGTTCTAGGATGAACATCCTCCTTAAGTGCCTGTTGATCATTCCCCGCTGTACCGTCGCAGGTGCAACATCGCCACACCACAAAGATGCATTGACATTTCATGTGACATTTTTACAGTGTCACAAATTCAATTCCTAGAATAAAAATAGATAGATTCAAGTCGAATTCCTCGAAGTCACCGGTTCTACTGGATATCATCACGTGCGGGTCGGTGCACGAGTATGGAACAGCCCTAATCCACGCCCATAACCAGGACAAACTATGCCTTCTCCTTCAATTCAAAGGAGAACAGCCTACCTTGGTCCTACAATAGAGCGACGACCCAAATAAAACTCAATGGAAGGCCCCTCGTCTCTCAGTTCAACATTCCTCGGAGTTTAAGGGCCCTAGGGATGAGAAGGGAAGCGCCACAGGGACATGGCAACTGGCACATTCCTGTGTCATTCCAAGACAACAACAAGGGTGCTTGTATACGCATCAACCTTTAGGGATCAGTCCAAAAATGCCACGTAAAGCTTATCCTCTCAGAATAGACACCTTACCTATATCTGGTATAATCCACCACGAGAATGCCTGAACGTCATCACCTTCATTCGCGCCCACCATTAAGGGATCAAGGGGTGTCATTCACAAGCAGTTATTTACCCTTTCTGTTAGTGTCATGGAATCTACATTGTATTTAAATCATCGACCATTTCTCGAGCCCGGCCCGTCGGTTCTATTCTCTTCTTACCTACCTTCATTGTCCGATACTAGACTATACTGCTAGTAACCCTCTCTCCCAAAACCTCCTAATAACAAAAACCACATCTGCAATGCGTCACTTCATCACCGCCTCAGTGATCATCGGCGCCGCAGTCGCCCAGACCGCGGACGACATCATTGCGTGTGCCGTAAGTATCCTCCAAAAAACTGAAGTATACCGCAAACCCTAACCCCAAAGCCAGAACGCTGCCATCAGCAACGGCGACACCTACTCATTCTCAAACTGCGAGGGCAAGTCTGCCCAAGACTGCTTCTGCAGCAACAGCGACGCCATCTCAAACCTGAGCCCCTCCACCGCAAGCGCCTGCTCAGGCATCGACATAAACACCCTAATTGACAGTCTCTGCCCCTCAAACTCAACCTCAAACTCAACCTCGAGCTCGAGCTCGAGCTCGAGCTCAGCCTCGCGCGAGACCCACGCAACCCCCTTCCGCCACGCCAGCAAGCCAATGGAGCGCGTGCAGGCCCCCAACGCACACATGAACATGGAGCGCGCCTACGCACCCGCCGAGCCCGCCGTCCCACGCGTCGTCTACGTGACCGAGACACGAACCGACTGCAGCTGCAAGACCACGCCCGCTTCCATGGCTCGTATCTCGCAGATTCCAGTCAATGTGCCGGCTAGCTCTAGCATGTCTAGTATGATAGCTGCGTCGTCAGCTGCTCCTTCTGCTTCTTACTCGCATGGTATGATGGTTAATGCTGCTTCTTCATCTGTTGTCTTTGGATCGCAGGCTTCGGCTGCTACGCCTTCGCCTTCTGGTGTTGATGCCAACCGATTCAGCTCTTTCCAGGGGGCTGGAGCTAAGAGCGTTTCTGTGCATGGTGGTGTTGCTGCTCTTGGTGTTGCTGCCGTTATGGCTCTTATGGCTGCGTTGTAAGGTGGCTGTTGATGTTTTGGGCATTAAAAGGGTTTCATGTGGAAGGAGGTGGTTCTTGTTTTCTTTTTGGGGTTAATGCGTCTTTTGCGAGTTTATATTGGAGTCTTTTGGTGATATTCAGATTAGTTTGCTTTCAAATTGAGTGGTAATGATAAATGAAACATATCTGGTTAACTGTTGCAATGTTGGGAAGCTGAGTACTGAGTACCTTTGGTGTATACGTGGTCTAGTTTTCTCCATGCAACACATCTCTCCTCCCTTTGGTCCATTTTCTGATGCGAGAGACAATGTGGGATGTACTATCCCAGTACTTGAACTACCTGTCCAGAGATCCAAGATGCTTCACTGTATGTGTCGTGTTCCATTGTCCATTAATTAAGTTTTACTTCCATTCGATGCCCGTGAGCCATGATATGACTATAGCCAGTGACACTTGAAAGTAAAAACATGCATACTACTACCCTCTTGATCCATACATCGAGGCAATGATCTACCATTCATGCGTGGACCGCCTGCTGGACCTGAGGATAAAGCTCAACGAGCTTGTAGTAGATCCCCGGGTGGTCATTAATCATAACCTGAGGATCCCAGCCCATAGCCACAAAGATAGTCTCAACACCACTACCAATAGGCGTCATGAAGACCTGACAGATCTGCAAACCAATCAAGAAAGCAAAAGCCATGATGACAGCAGTGAAGTTGCCATCATTGTTGTACGCGGGTTTGGTGAACTGCAGATAAAGATAAGCCAGCAGAGCGCAGACATAAGCGACGAAGGTCGAGCCCATGGTCAACACCGGGCCCATTAGGCAATCCTGCACAAGGGCGTCAATACCCCGATCGCGCATCATCGTCCAGGTATCCTTCGCAGCGGGGATATACGCCTTGCCGTACAATGCGATGTGGCAGAAGGCGTAGCGATTGAACAGCGTCACAAGCCAGTCAAGTAGCGAAATGAAGCATCCCAATACCCACATAGCGATGCTGCCAATTAGGTTGCCCTGCGCGGCTTCGTGTCGCTGAGCAATCGAACATGCCTGGCGCAGCATCTGGATGAATGCAATGATCAGACTGCCCAAACTGATACTGCCAAAGGAGTAAGTCGTCGCACGTCGGAACGCGCCACGGGTCGAGCCCTTGGGCATACCGCCAGCAGACTTGCTCCAGAAGTACCATGATCCATACACACCAGCGATAGTCGTGTGCACGGTATTCTTGATCCACTCGCTAAACCAGTACATGGCAAAAGTCACATACACAACCAAACCAATGACCTTGGCTCTGCTGCACCCGCCATTCGCACATGAAGGATTGGTACCAGAGGAATCAGGCTCATATGCGACATAGATCGAGACAAGAGTCACAGAGAACCAGGCCGAGAACGCGACAGTGACAATTCCACCCAGCGCACTCACGAGGAAAATGTGACCGTATCCACGCGCCACGTCCATGGCGGTTTGCAACATGAATGCGGTAAAGGGGATGCGCGGGATCCAGCTGATGAAACAGATGATCGCGAAGACGCCGAATAGCAGAAACACGATTCCGCCTCCATACTGCTTACGCGCGATGTAGTAGATACCTGTCGCGAGTGCGAAAACGATGTTGAGAATGCCAGTCGCCCAGATGAAGGTTTTGGTGAAGTATCTCGCGCCCATAAAGTACAGCCAGGATAAGACGAGGGCAACAACGAGGACAAAAATGAATAGGACGAGTGTATTGGTGTTGAGCGAGAAATCATTGGTCGCGTCGTAAATGCCTCCTCCGCTGAAGCCTTTGTTAGTTGCATACTTGTGGATGGTGAGCCCAGATACGGCGGCGTATCCCAGGAAGACTGCGATCAGCTGTAGAGGTATTAGTTCTGCGGTGATATGAGCTTGCAGCGCTGCGATTGCGACAATCATACCAAGATACCAGCCCACAGATCGTTCCATTTGGGCTTCTCGACCTTGAATGCCTCATCAAAGCTGTATCCAGACTGTGGCATATTCTGCTGGTACGGTGGGGGAGGTTTGGGCTCAGCTGCAGGCTGCTGATATCCCGCAGGCTGCTGGTACTCAGGCTGTTGATACTGGGGCTGCTGGTATTTCCCATTGTTCTGTCCGTTGTAGTTGTATCCGGGTTGAGGCTGGCCCTGACCGAAGCCTTCGCCGGTGTAATAACTAGCAGCCTGTCCACTCATATCTGCATGCTGTTGATAAATACCAAGGGAGAAAAATATGAAATAGTGCGCAGAAGAGAAATTAAAATTAGGGGAAGCAAGGAGGTGATTTGAATCATGACGCCATGGAATTGGGAGCAAGAACCGCGATCGCCAATGATCAGCCCTGTAGGGTTTGCGATCGATAGTTCCAATGAAACCTCAATTTTTAGCTGTGCCAAGTTGCCAAGTTTGTTGCCTGCTTGGCGGTCTTTTGTGTTTAGTTATGTACAAGAATTGTAGGCCTTTCATATAAAACCCTTTTTCCTTCCAAATATTCGCCATGAAGCGCCCAGAATGCTACTCTAACGAAATGGGCCATCACTTGACCCATGATTATGATTACAGAAATTAATGAGATAGACCGAGAGGGCAATGGTCCGCTCATCGGAATGTGTGCTGTTTCAGGTGCCGCCAGGAACCTACGACCCGGTGCTCAATGCCTGGGATTGGGGTGCGCGCTCGGCCAGTGAAGTCGTCCGTGGCGGGATGCAGATGGCCCTTAGCGAAGGCGACCGATCGTCGCAGCTTCTCTTGGCGGACGGCAGTCCGACGTTGAGCGCGTAACTCCTCAATGCGGCCTTGACCAACTCGGTGCCGGCGAATAAAGCACTCGTCCATTAGCGTATTGGCATCCAGCAGCTTCTTAGGGATGGTCTGAACGACCTGGAATGCCTCCATGGGATCCGTTACGCTCAGAATATCGCGCTCGCAGGCTTTGAAGATGGCCAAGGAGACGCGGAAAAAGGTCTTCGAGCCCTCGTAGAAGAACGCGTCCCAAACTCGAAGTGTAGTCTCCAGGGGCAGAGTCCCAATAAAGACCGACATAAGCCAGTTGGTCAGTCCGAGGGTAATATCCGGCAGGCGAGAATTCACTGTCAGAGGAGGCATCTTGCCCCGTCCTGACGGGGTACCTCCCATTGCGGCGATCTTGGAATAAATGCCCGGCATAGAATCCCTGAGCAGGACCATGAGAATCCAGAGGTCAATGTTCGCGCCCTCCAGACTAATCTCGTGGGTTCCAGGCAAGTAGTCTGAAGCGATGATATGAAGCATCCAGAATGCCTTTTCTTCGGGCAGGAACAGCAGAAGCATCCCCGTGATAAAATTAAGAGACTGGGTGTATCCGATTTTGGAATTATGCAGCGCAAAGGCATACAGGACGCGGCGCAGCGACTGAATCATTTGTGTCTCTGTGGTGACATTAGAGTAATTTGGGTTACTGCTCCCCGAGTTCTCTGTTTGTTCAGGCATCTCTGGCTTGAAGTGAAGATTGTCGGGGAATGTGCGGTGGAGATCACGCTCAATGTGCTCCTTGTCGTCATTGCTCGGCGATTTCATCGCACTCTCCACCAGTCGATCGTAGTGGCCCAGGTTTCGGTTCAAAAGCTCGTACCCGCCGGCATAAAAGAACCAAGCCGCACCTCGGAATTCGGGAGGAATTCCTTTGCGCACAAATCGCTTCACCTTGGAAGACTGCGGTGGGAAAGTGGTTGGGTCTACCGTGGGCAGCCCATGCTCCTTGAGCATCTCAATCCATTTTGATCTCCGATGTTCCACATGGTTTGAATAAGGACCTTTCCAGGCCTCGTGCTCATCCAAGGTCACGTATTGAGTCGCTTTCCGGAAACCGTATTCGTCTCGAGGGCCGACCCCAGGTAAGAACCGCGGAGGCACTAATCCTGGAATGAACACCTTTGAGGGCTGCCGTTGATGTGCAGGTGGAGCTTCAGCTACCGGAGATTCAGGCTGAGTAAGATCTGATGGCGGGTACTCTGGTGTTATAGGATCAAATAACGAATGGTCCGGTGGGGATTCCAGCAGTGCGGGTTCAAGAGGTGTAAAGTCTGGCGGAGATTCTGGAAGTATAGGTTGTAAAGGTGTCGGTTCCGAGTATGTTAAATTGGGCAAGAACGTCAAATCTTGCAACACCGGCTCGGGATATGTGCTTTTGGGTGTTGACTCTGGTAATGGGGGTATCGGGGGAACGTCGTCCAATTGTGTAAAGTTTGATGGCACATCATCCAGTGGTGCATCGCGTGACGGTGGGGGCGTTATTGATGGCGCTTTACTTTCCGCATGAGATTTTGGTGAAGGGGGCTCTTCAGTCACGTCGCTGAAGCCATCGAGATACATAGAGATCGCGTCTTCAACGCTCATTCCATTGTCCATCCCGTAAGGCGCGTCCGGGGTGTCTGGCGAGAGATCTGTGAACGAGCTGCTCTTGGTCAAGACACTGCTGCGCTCTGTTCCGCTTGCCTGCTCGGTACTGGAGCGCGAGGTCTCGCCCGAGTTGACGCTTGAACGGGGCGCGTTTTCATCGGCAGGTCCATTGATCGGGAACCGTGGACGGGGTAAGTCTTGAGGGCTGAGTTCCTGTGGGCGACGCTCCATGGATTCTTGCGTCCGCGGTCGTCGCGTGTTCGCTCGGGATGTTGACATAGATATACGAAGTCCACCTCGACCGGGCGGAGCATTACGGTGATTAGGTCTGTCGAATTCGCCGTCTCGAGAAGCCCATTTCGGAGGATGCATTTCGGGAGGTGTAGCATAGATAGGGGGGCGAGCTGTAGATCGGGGGGTTTTCCATTCGCCCCTACCCTGCGCCGGGCCTAAATGTTGTGGAGTAGGCGGCCATGGGTGTTCATGGTTAGGAGGGTGTGTTCGTGGGAGAGGAGAGCGCGAACGCGGGTCCGGCGGGTGATGCGGAGAGCGCGGAGAGCGAGACGACGCTCTTGGTGCTGATTTCGAAGGGCGTGCGCGTGGATCGATCGTCAAAGAATCCAATCGCGGTGGATGGGGTACTCTGCGACGGCCAGGCAGGTCGAATTCAGCCGGAGGCGGATATGGAGAGTTTGCGTTTTCTGTGACCATGGCCACGATTTAGCACCCAGATCCCGCTGGACATTGATGATCGTGACTAGAGGGGAATTTGCAATAGAGCGGTCCAAGACCATGGGCGTTATTTGGAAGTCGAAAAGTTGGGATATGGAGAGAGACCCTGCGCGAACTCCGGCGGCTGAGAATGTAGCAAAAGACGTCTCACTAATAGGAGAAAAAGAGCGAATAGGAATGTAACGAGAGACAGAAAAGAATTGGCAAATTCCGGGGGGCAGCCTGCCAGAGGACTGTGTAAAAAGAAAAGAAGGGTGAAGTTGAGACAAAATCAACAAGCCCTGATTGGGCCTAGTGTCATGTGACGTAATAATCAAAGGGGGTTTCAGAATACGATTCTTCTCTTTGTTCTTTGAGTAGATAGATACTGTATATTATTCAGTTATGGGGCAGATATAGACGAGTCTACAGGTAGCAAGTAGTATATAGTAGTTAGTATAGTATACCTGACAGGTCACATCTATAGGCGAACCACGGCTGCACGGCGATCCGCGAATCTAGTCAATAGTCAAAAAGCCCCTGAGTGTTTCTAGAAATCGGTTGGGCTCTAACCGCTTAACCGTCGAATATCCGCTCTATTTCCAGACCCTTGAAACATTTAAACAGTTACATCTTTAAATCTAACGAAACATCAGTTATGGAATGTTCGTTTTCGGACACCCGGAACGGACATGTCATGTCAGCCATTCCGCGCCGCTGAACTCAAACATTTGGATATCGTTTCTATCATTTGTACGTTTGCATCGTCAAGACGGCTTCCGGATGTCTAGTCCAATGCTCGGTACTTATGTATGGAGGTGCCAGCTGCAGCTGCATTTCACTATTGACCTGTACCAATGATCCCTTTTGCCCCAACATGGCCATTGTCGACCCAGCGACCAGATCTCCAGCTCACATCCGCCCCAGTAGCTGGGCCGATGTAATTATTATTCCCTGTCCCCTGCAGGGAGCACCTTCTAACTTTCCACTCTCAACAGGGCCTTCGGGGAATTGCCGCACTGTTCGTAGTTGCGAGCCATACCTGTCTCTGCTTTGCAATATACTTGGTCCCGCCGTCCTCCTCGGAATTCGGACAATCATTCCTTTTCCAGCGTCCGTTTTTCAGATTGGTGATACAGGGTCAGGCGTGGGTGGCCATCTTCCTAGTGCTACTTGGATTTGTGAATGCCCTCAAGCCACTCCAGCTAGCCCGCCGTGGAGCAACGGCCGATGCTCTCAACGCCCTGTCTACTGGTGCCTTTCGGCGCAAGGGGAGACTCGTCTTCCCCGCAGCCCTGATGACATTTCTGTCTTGGCTATTGTGTCAGTTCGGGGTGTTCCAATTGGGTCGCCAGGTAGATGCATACTGGATGCGGGCAACGAGTCCCAAACCAAGCTCTTCTTTGATCACTGCCATTGTTGATCTTGTGCAAGAGGTGGTTGGCACTTGGACATATGGAGAGAACGCCTATGACCAACCACAATGGGCGTTGTTACATATTTTCCGTGGCTCGTTGTATGTCTTCATGGCTCTGCTGGCTTTGGTGAATACCACGCCGCAGTTTCGCATCTGTGCCGAAATGGTCCTCTACGCTTACGCATGGACGACACTTGATGGTAATTGCGACATTATCCCCAACAAAATAATCAAAGCTGACAAATTCTGTACAGGCATCGTCGGTACCAACATTTTCGCTGGCATGATCATGGCCGAAATGTCATTTTACAACTTGTCAGCCCTTCGACCACGCATTTTGTTTAAAATACTCCCCTATGGACTCGTCACACTAGGCTTCTACATCTGCTCTTATCCCGACGAATACGCAAACCAAACAGCATGGTCTTCCCAGCTCGAATCCCTCGCCCAAACCATCTTCCCGAAAAATGCGAATGTCAGCAGATACTATGCCAGTCTAGGAGCACAGATGGTCTGCTCTGGCGTGATACTGTCGCCCTTCTTACGACGGATACTCTCTCATCCTGTACTGCTGTGGCTCGGATCGATCAGTTTCCCGCTCTACCTCATCCACGGGCCTCTTATGCGCTCTGTTCTGGTCTACCTCGTCTACCTGCCCATGTCAATTGGCTTCAAACCGAATTTGCGACCCGATGGGACATCTGATCCGGAGTCGTACATTCCCACGCCGAACCCGTTCCGGCTGGGTGTGATTCTTGTCATATTCTTTGCCTTCTTGCTCTATGTTGTTCAGCAGTGGACGATATATGTTGAACCGAAGATGGCTGCACTGACGGATGCTTTTGAGAGATTTTCTCGCTCGTGGGGGAAGAATGGGATGTGGGCTATCAGGAATAATGGTGCACTATTGCCTCTCAATTCTGCCAAAGAGATCAAGGCATGATAATTTGATGTTTATTTGTTATCGATTAGCGTGTTATGGATTTGGAAGGTAGGCGTTGTCATAGAGGAAGCAACTGAGGATGACGAGCATGTTGTCAAAACAATATATAACTACTGAGATTCTTAAATCGCTGTGCTTGTGAGATGTATAGACAGGTATACGCGGATGCACCGATCAGTCTAATAACAAAGTGATGTATATCTCCAACTCGATGTGACCTCGCCAATTTTACCTCACTGCTGTGCGATCCAACCTCACATCCATATTCTTCTGCCTAACAAACCACGCATTCAAAATCTCCCATTCAGCATCAGGATCCTTCAGCTCAATCTACAGACATGTTAGAGACCCCATGCAATATGTAGAAGAGCCCACTCACCTTGTAACTCAGGAAAAGCGACGGGATAAGTTTATAAATCTCCAACAAACTAATATTCTTCCCAATGCAAGTCCTCGGCCCAGCCCCAAACGTAAAAGTCGCCCGCAACATCTTCTGCCTCCTCCCCTGAAAGACCTCCTCGGCCTCCCCGTCCATCCTAAGCCAACGCTCCGGAACAAACGACTCCACATCTTCCCCGAAGACACAATGCCGATGTATAATCCACGGATTAGCCCCAACGACTGTCCCAGCAGTCAAGAAAGGACCACCGTGAGGTAGTTGAAGCCCTTCAGCTGGAACAATCCGCTCAAGCATTAGCCCCACGGTGGGATGTAGACGAAGAGCTTCCTTAATGACTGCATCCATGTAAGGGAGTTGTTCTTGGCTTTGTTTCCAAGAAACAGGCAATGAGATGCGGTTTTCCTCGAAGGCATTGTTAAGTTCTTGGTTTAGTTTCTTGTACACTCGTGGATTTTTGAGTGTGTAGTAGAGGATTGCTCGTAGAGAGATGGCTGTTGTGTCTGAGCCGGCGTTCATGTTACTGACGGTGTATGAGAAGACTTGGTTGTCGTTAACGATGTTTGGATGCTCAGTTTTTGCTTCTAGGAAGCGGGCGAGGAAATCTTTATGCGGAGATGGGGGTGCACTTATTAGCGTATCCCCTGTACCCAGCTTTTTTAGTCTTTCGTCGAGTCGTGCGCGGGCAAAACGTGCCACTGCCCCTGTGGAGCCTCCCCCAAAGAGGTTCTTGAGAGGATTTTTGATGAATAGATAGTCAAGCCATGGCATCTGACCAATCTGGGTTGCCCGGTACTTATTAGCTCTTGTCTTCTTTGTTTCTTCAAACAGACGACATACCTTGCCGGAATAATCAAGCATATGTTCCAAGGCAACAATAATCCCATCCACGTCGCCTCCCTTCTCGAGAAACCCAAGTGGCTTACTGAATGTCAATTCTCCAATAACATCAAAAGCATCTAGAAGATTTGTATTAGCCGGCTATAAACCCTTCGACTTGGACCCAATTGGGATAAGAAACATACAAAATTGCAACCAAGCAGCAATATCACAAACCCTACCCGATTCCACAAACCCATCCAACTTCCCAAAAAATGTCGATATAGTCTTATCGACAAACGGCTCAAACTCAGTAAGCGTACTCATCGAATAAGCCGAAGAAATAGGCCGTTTGATAGCAGCATGAAACTCTTCATCAGTTGTAGTAAAGAGAGTAGGTGTCGGTCTACCCTTTGCTAATTGTTGCTGAACACAGTAGAAATCCGTCTTGTATTAAAGTCAGCCAAGCAACTTATGTGTGAGATATTGGGCAACATATACCTTCTGATAGCCTTTATTAATACCATAAATAATCTTCAAAGCATCCAAATTCTGCACGCTGACCACATTCGGCCCTAGTCGGACATAATCTCCATGTTTCTGATGAAGCTTGTAGAGCGTCACTTCTGCGCGTCCTTTCGCGACATCGATGAATCTCCAGATGTTAGAGAATTTGGCTAGGAATGGGCCCGGGATTGAAGATGCTCCTGGTGTGAAATAGTTTTTTGTTAAGTAGAGTATAGTGGTGAGGACTAGGATTGCTGGGAGATGCTGTGATAGAAAAATCAATGAGTCTGATATCACTGCCATAGTGGATTGAATTAGAATATTCGTCCGATACCCAGCAATAAAAGAATCTGTTCCCTGCTTTTATATGCTGGTTCACTCCGGGTTTATGCACCCCATAAGCTTCTGGGGCAAATGCGGGGAAATACATCGAACGAGGGATAATTCCGCCCTGGTTGATATTGATATACTTGTATGTGTATGTGAGCATATGTTAGAGATGATGAGAGTCTTGAGCAAGAAAAAAAATATATATTTATATATAAGATTTGCGCTGGTGAGATAGAAAGAGAATCGTATAGTACCCCTGGTCAATGACTCTCGACTGACGCTTTCACCTGGACAGTCTCCAATGACTAAACCATTTTTATATGGGTGAAGGGGCCATGAGCCACTTTAAGCACCAAGAAAAGCGTTTTCTTGACGGAATCGACCCGCGAAGAGAACACTCGACACCATTTCCACAAGATATAATCAATTCACGACCGATATATGCACCTAAAGAATGATGGATAAAGATTCCGCTTTAGAGATTGCAATAATAACATGACAGCGTGTAATTCGTAAGCCGTGGCTTGAATATTCCGATATTTGACCTGTCCGGCAGTGATCATGACAAGATTCCGGTATGCAGGAGTAGTTCCGCGTTCAACTCCGGAGGAATCTACAGAGAAAAGGCCTTCTTTCACAGAGCACCCCATTTCCCGGGCTATCAAAGCACCTTCTACTAATTAGCAAGCGTGCTTCCGAGTCCACTCGCGTGCAACCTCCTCATAGCGCGACCGGTCATTTCTGTATTGCTCAGCAATCCTTCCCTCGACGGCATCATCGGGCATAGGCTCAGCCAGTAGCTGACGAGCGAATTGAAGAACGGCCGAGATCTTGGAGCTGGGTTTCCACTCGTCCGCCCGTAGCATGCCTAAGCACATGCTCCCCTTTTCATCGTTTGTGACATTTGGGTGGTAGATTTTCGTTGCGAAGGAGACGGTGGGTGGCTTGAAGGGGTATTCGGTAGGCAGAGAAAGCTTGACTAGGAATTTTCCTTTCTGTGTTGCTCGAAGAAGGGGGTTAGCGAAACTGCTTGGTGGGCTGGAGCTGGAGATGTGGGCTCGCGTGGCAAACCCCTCCTCCCTAGACAAGCTGTGGACGGGGAACGCGCCTTGACAGATATTCTGGGGAGGCTGAGGTTCCTGTTTGACGTACGTGGAATGGTGATTTCTCAGGGCCTTCCATGTGGACCTTCCACTCGTACAGGTTGGCTTCGTCGGCGAGCTCGACCATGATCCCCGCGGGAGGAGACTCGGTGAGCTCAGCTAGCTCCTGTGGTTGGAAGGAAGGCTTAGCAGGCTGGCAAATATCGGCATCTAAGAGTGATCACAGGCCCATACCTTGGCTATGCGCTTCTGGCTGCCCATTTTCGGTGACGAGCGTGAATTCTGGCGGGGTGTGAGTGCGGGGAGGTGTAGGAAATTGCAGATCGACGCTGATGATCAATGCAAGTCTTGAAAATACAAATATAAGATCAAAAAGGACAACAAGAAAAGGACCGGGATGCTAACTGTGACTCAAATGGCCATTGGCTTGGATCCAAGAAGCTCTGAGTGGGGGGGGCAAAGACGTCAGTCCCCGATAGGCGTCCAACACGCGAGTTTCATAGGAGCGCGTAGCTACGTATTATGGAGATCTACATTGGCTTGAATATACCCTACGGCGCCTAGATAACATATTTAGGTTATTTTGCCGGGATTTCCTATCTATCTGCGCATTTTATATTCTCATGCATCCGTTACTCTCGCTGAAGCATGACCATTAGGCCCATCAATCCAAGCATTACTGTCTTGAGCCAAGGGTGCTCAGACAGCATAATGGTAACATATCCCCTGTTCCTCCCTGTCAGCCGTATATCCACAAGACAGTCCCCGGAGGATAACTTACACCATCGGGATATACCCACGCACACTGCCCACAATATCTTCCTTGCGGTTGAGGTGGTCTTGGTCCTGAGCGTAGAGTTCGACGTCATCGGCAATGTTGTTGTCACCCTGTGTGTAGATTGTTAGCTGATATAGTAAGTTCAATCGAGTCGCGTTTGCCTACCTTAGTAAGGAGCATATGAGAGTCGGGTGCCGTGTCCCTGGAAGTTTGTGTCAACTCAAAGGACGTCCAAAGATCAATAATTATGGCTTCGGATAAGCGTACACTGTAATTTCTTTCACCTTCCTCGCGTTCACGCGCCCTTCGACCTCGGGGAATGTCCGCACCACGCGGTGTACAATCGGGATGTCCTTGCCTCGAACGTTGTAGACGACAACCTCTCCAATCTCTGCACGAGGGCTCCGGTTCCACAAGAACAGCAGGTCACCACGCTGGAAGGCCGGTTCCATTGACCCAGACAACACGACGACGATTGGCGAGCTGGATGCGGAGGCGACAGAGAGGCCCTTCCATAGCATGAAAGCCGTAGAGAGAACTAACGCGAAGTTCAAGGCTTGTGCGATTGAGTGTCGGGCGTTTGCCATAGTAGAAGAGAGGGAGGATAACATGATGGGCGGTTTGTGATCGAAGGATGTGATGGGGTGGGCTGCTCGATAAACTATTCTTGGTCAGAATTGCCAGTATATCATCTGGCGGTGACGCGAGATAAAAAGAAGGAGCAAGGTACCTATTATTGGCCAGCTGGGCTGGTTGAGTTGTGTTTTGATGCGGAGAGGTGTCCTCGTCGGAGATCGGCTTGGCGTTGCAGATCTCCGTTTTCCGCCCTTGTATACAATGCGCCGCCCATGGACTACAGGCATCATGCTTTTACTATCCTTACGACTTTGTGTTGAATTCTTTTTTGACTAAATTTCTTGTAATTTGGCTTCCATACCGGCTGGTACTAGTCTTCTGCACAATGAAATCTCATATAAATACACGCACGACACGAGAGTTTCCCCCTAAAAACGGCGCGAATCTGTGGTGAGAGATAATTTGAAGACGACGGATGAAATGAGCTTTATGGTGCTTTTCGCTATCTGGTTAGGTCTTCCTATCTATACCAAGAAAGTATGCTCCCCAGTATGTAGATGCCCACTTTTGCGAACCAACGAATTCTAGAGCCCATCAGCTGGTGGCTAAGGCGCATGGGAATTTTTACGGCACTGGTGTTTGACAAGCAGGATCTAAACTCGAGACCATCGACCTCACCCACCGAAACTATTTTTGTACTGAATTTGAGACATTCACTGTCGCTCTCAAGCATGCTATAACTATTGTGACTACAATAGTAACATAGTCAGTTTACAAAACTAATAAAAGGATGCGTTACTAGGATACCCCAAAGGTTTTCAATGCTGTAACTACTCCTCTGATTTCGCCATGATATCAAAAATCAGACTTTTGAATGAGAAATGTGGACATTGTGAAAAACCCTCCATGATTGCCACCGCTATTCGGTGTCCGCATGTTTCATAGCTGATGTGTGGGACATGGATCAGGACAGGGACCAGAATCCTGGCCCTACCAGAGAGCACAATACCACAACCCATGTGAAGTCTCGCAAATTAGACATAGGAAATTATAAAATTGAGGACTTCGTCGCATTGGATACAGTTTATATTCCATTCATAGTAAACGTGGAGACAAAGTTGTCTGAAATTCGGATTTCGGTTGCCTACACAGACCATACAGAGGGAACAAAACGCTTGTTTTAGATTTGTTGCGTGCTCTTCTGTCGTGATATACCATGGTGGAGCCCTTGAATATCTAGACAGCTACTAGTACATGTACATGCAGTACGAAATACTGGCAATGATAATCCTCCTTGGTTCTTAGCAAGGGCAGAACATAGACAATAAAAAGAGAAGCCAAATTAGAGCGAGGTTCGATATGAAAAGAAAAGCACTCGCAGTGAGGCGCGCGGACTTGGTGTATTAACTGTAGAGTACCGAGTATATAAATGCTTCGTAGAAGCGTATTCCAGCAATGACGCATTAAAAACTGAAACTTGATTTGACTAGGGTCCAGACTGACACTGCCTGTGGAGGCTACAAGGCCAGCGTGGTATGCTTGAAGCCCATGATGGACCGATCAATCCCGATAAAACAGATTCATGCGGATCGTCCGCGAAGCCGCGAGACAACTGAGTTCATGAGGTGCTAAGATGATGCAATCTATCCACCTATGAATAAGTTGTTGAATTTCTGGTTACCCTACTCAAATTTGGAGACCTTCTTTATACTCAGACATGTTTCGTACCAGGGCTTCCATTGCCGTATCACACATAAAGGTAACATGACTGGTCTATTTCGCGGAAATTAATCCGTAGGGACCCCTATTTACCTTTCTCACATGGTTAGACGCTTCACCAATGGCTCAAACTACATACAGGAAGTCAATAATTGAAGATCGATGCATGAGTTCATCGCCAGGGTGGGACTTTTGTTCCGGCTCCCCCAGTGCCGATATGCTTGGTTCTTCAGTTTGGGAGGCTCAAAGCATCCACAATAGCATTTAACCTGTGATTCACTTACGGACTGTAGCTAGAAGACATACTTGACATCATTTGCTGATCATTTCTATTTCAGATCAAGTCTCATTTTTGTATGGGGAAATCACCTTCAAGGCGCACGGAGAACCACATTAACGCCTCGAGGAATGCTCAAAATGGCTATCCCTGTCAACTTAGGTCATTAGACAAAGTCCGGTGGTTTTGAACGAGTGTTTTTCTTGGCAAGATACAACCCAACGTAGTGTAAACTATGCAGGCCCCGAGATGTAGATCTGACCGAGAGCAACCCATATCGACTGAGCAAATGCTCAGCTGCTGTACCATCTGTCGGTAGCTAGGCGATCGGTAGATCACAAGCGAATATTCCAGGATGCATTTTTAGGTGACCGACGCGTGTTAATAAGGAACTGGGCTCGAACAACCCCACACACGCAGATCGCAAGGGGGCATTCCACAGGGCAAGGTTTCCTAAATAATGTCCGACTAGGAAAGTTGGCGTAACATGATAAAAGCAGAAATCCCACCCCAGCTGTAATGTCCTCAAGGGTCGGTATGTGCTGTTGTTAAGTGTGGGATATTCCAGGGCTCATACCTCTACTCCGTACCGAGGCAACAACCTCACTCCTATGATTTGTTTGACAGTTGCCCAATATGCACCCCATTTCTCCGGAGTCAACGGATGAACCCAAGCCTTCTATTCAAGGGCTTCTATACCAAAATTTTCTGGAGCTTACCCCGGATGGAAAATATGTACGATGGGTGCGCGATCACCCCAGACATCCGCGGAATTGGTCTGGCTTCCGGAAAGCCTATGACATTATTCTTGTGTGTCTGCTGGATCTTTTTATGTATGATAAATATCAGGCCCATGGGAATTACTCCGCAACTAACAATGTTTACAGAACAGCATCTAGTACCGCAGGAGTGAGTGAAAACAACAATTATAGTTTGCTTTTGAATATTGGTACTAACAGGGAAATACTAGTCGGCAGCAGCAGCACAAGCCAAATATGAATATAGCATGGACGAAACACTCGCAACTTTTGTATTCGTGACGATGTAAGATTGTCACCAAAGTTGCTTCCCCGACGTTGATCTGTTATTTATGCTAACGCGATACAGATTTCTCCTCGGCCAGGTGCTAGGTACCATTGTGTTTCCCCCATGGTCGGAGTCATTTGGGCGTAAAAAGATGTACATCTTCAGTAGTGGCCTCAGCGCCATTTGCTGCATGATCATCGGTCTGGTACACCCAATCTCCGCTATCATTGTTGTGCGAATCGTGGCTGGAATGCTTTCCGCGATTCCGTATACTATCATCGGTGGTACCATTGAAGACATGTTCAATGCACATGCTCGGATATGGGCCATGTTCTATTGGACTATTGCATCCAACATAGGTCTAATTTTGGGACCGATCATGAGCAGCTACATTATTGCAGGTCTCGATTGGTATGTACACCTGAAACGTGAGCGCGTTAGGTCCCGTTCTGACCAACTCATAAGGCGATGGAACTTCTACATTTTCGCTATCATTATCGGTGTCCTCACTGCTGGTCTTTGTCTGATTCGCGAGTCTCGACCTTCCTTACTGCTGGCCCGCGAGGTAGAACATCTTCGCACTATCACAACCATACAATCCATCCCGCCATCCCTTAATCATGATCATATCCCAAGTCTCCACGGTTTCATGAAGGAATCACTCATACGTCCAGCCCAGCTCTTCTTCCAAGAGCCCATCATCTTCACTGTTTCAATGATGGTTTCTGTGGTCATGTCGCTCATCTACATCTTCACGGAATCTCTTCAGTCCATTTTCCAGGCTGTGGGATTCAGCGAAGCCCACGCCTCATTAATCTTCATCACAATCGGTCTTGGAACCGTTCTCAGCACTTTTACACGCTTCCTGGACTCATACATCTTGAACTACCTTCGTCGCCAAGGACGCCCAATCAAACCCGAACACAAGCTCATTGGGCTCGTAATCGGTGCTCCCTTTTTAGCTATTGGCTTATGGTGGTTCGCCTGGACCATTCCGCCAGATGTGCAAACCTCATGGATTGTACCCGCACTATCTCTCGTTTTTGTGGGATATGCACTCACAGAACTGGATACGGCACTATATGGGTACATCTCGGATAGTTATCTGAGCTACTCAGCCAGTGCGTCCGCTGCGATTGCATTCATGCGAGCGCTCGTGTCTGGTGTCGTCCCACTTTTTACGAAGCAAATGTTCAGTGGACTGGGCAATAACATTGCCATGACTGTGCTTGCAGTCGTGGCTACGGTGTTTTGTATAGTTCCCCCTGTCTTTGTTTTTTATGGAGAGCGGATCCGGCAGGCCAGCAAATTCGCTCGGTATAGTTGGGAGATCCAGGAGCAGATGGGTAAAGATGAGGATGATTGGTGATTTCTGCGTTCTTGATACATATGTTGAGTTTTAAAAGTGAATATTCTATGGAGTATATGGGGAATATATGGGGATAGTCTTAATAAAAGAAGACTTATGCTAGATTAGAACAGACTTGAAATCCAGAGAACATTGTAGATACGTATAAATTCATACCCCCTGACTAGTGACAGCAGACTTGGCTGGTTGAGTAGCTGAACTCGTTTCCCAGTACTTCTCTTTCCTGCCTCGCTTTGTAATCAATCCATGAATATCGAAAGGGTCAACAAACGTCTGAAGCCAATGGCGGGGATCCTCGTATCCCGGCCCTTCAATCTCGGTGACCCCATCCTCAGCGAGATAGATCTTGTTTGAGCGTGGAAGCGAACGCATGGGATGGAATACGTTCAGAAGAGTGGTGTTGCTATACATGAACACGGCTTCGAAGAACCAGAAAAACCACTCTTGCTTGAGAACCGGACTGATGTGCTCGATGTCCGAGTAAGCATTCAAACTCGCCGCAGTGAAGTACTCCACTGTGCGGTAGATGGTGCGGATCGTAATGAGAGTGCAGCTGCAATACAGCACTATCAGAGTACGTTTGATTTTATCGTTCAACACACCCCCTCGGGAGCAATTATAGTGGAATTTTCCGGCTAAAGCGACAAAGCCTGCCATCAAGGCGATTTGCATGATGAGTGCTGCCTTCAACAGTGCTTTACCGGTATTCTGTGAACTGACTGAGGAGTCCGCACTTGCGACTCGGGCAGCTCCGTTGGCGGTAATGCTTTCGATAGCGACGCCCAAGGCGACAAATGTTGTGAAAACCCGTCCCGGGTGAATAGGTGAGTGATATGGGATGTAGTAGAGCATGCGACCCAAGATGAAGAAGTTAGCGCCTTCGTAGACGGGACTAGAACGGTCGAAGGCTCTGTGTTAGCAGGATTAACATCGCACCGGGATGAAATATTCCTTACGGTCCAGCCAGGAGTAGCACTGTACTCGCAATAAAGATACCGATATTCCCCCATTGACCAAATGCACCAATGGTGCGCATTACGAAACCTGCCGTGAACAGAAGGGCAGACCATGGAAGAAGTCCAGTGACTTTCCAGGACTTATATTTGCTGTGAAATGAGATCAGTCTTAAGTTCCTAGTGCTAGAGAGGTGTTATCAAACATACAAGCATTGGTAGCCATGGACACCTCCGGAAATAGCAAAGAGAATTGCAAATGCGATTGCAGCTCCTTTGTTTGGCGCATAGAACCACAAGCTTCCCTCCTCTGGATTTGTTAGTCATGAAATCAGTCGTTGGCAGTTTGTCCTTAAAAGATGACTCACGATATGACGATCTTGCCTCCAGCATGGCGGTTAAGAATTTTGTTAAAAGGTCACCGAGTGTACTGTATACAGCGAAGAGCAAGGCGATATAAATAAATAATCCAAATATTAAGGGACTCTCGAAAGGCAAGGGAAGGGACCTTGTTCTGTTGAATCCATGTAGTCGCAAGGGGATGGACGGGCTGCAAGACGGTATAAATACAATGTCGTATCAAGATGGAACTGACCTATTCCACGCGCCCCGATGAAGCGAAAACGAGTTACTTATTTAGGAATGGCGTATCAAGAATAAGCCAATCATAGTCCAATGATCCGGTACAATGAGAAAGCAAGCTTCGTATCCAGAGAGGCTTGGCATGGCGCAGGCAAACACGAGGTCTCGGGCCAAAGCGTGGACTTGTGGGGGCCCTTCCATGAACCACGGGTGTTTGGGGCAGTCTGCCTCACTATATTGTCGTCATGGTGCACTGTCACATTTAAGCGCTGAGATTAATACGATATTGAGAATTTTATCAATCCCGAGGTTATTAGTTACTATATTGATTTCAGAGGGCGTTTCTCAACGTAAAGGATCGAGCAAGAGGCCGTATCTATGGTCGTGGGAGGGGACATGGGAGGTCTCACTGCAGATATGCTGCAGATATTCTCTAGATGGTATCCGACAACCTTGAATGGACTTGTGCGGCGACGCGAGGGTCTTGCTTGACTGCGATTGTTAGATGCCCAGCAGAAATATTACAGAATATGGCACAGTTTCATGCGGAGATGCTATAATATGAACTCATTCGACAGCATCTTTCAGAATCTATCGAGGTCTACCATAAAGAAGAGAATCGAGATCACTAGATTATTTATGAAATCCAGACGATAAAGCGCCTTACTTGTCATTCTTTTATAAAAGCGCTGAGAATGGCAAGCTTTTCGTTCCTACCACCGTGCCAACTCAATAAGGCGGACGAAGGAAGACCAAGGGCTCTAGCTCGGGATCAAAGCAGATGAGCATACCAACTGATTTAATATGGTGGTCATTAAAAACGTTTGGATCAGTAAGCCATATATTGATGCTCTCAGATTCAAGCAAGATAAACTGCAGACTTCCCAAAGTAGGCCTCGTATGTCAGAGTAAATCTCATTAGATGAAAAGCTGAAAAGCAGGCCAATAATTATTATCATAGTAGTGCTTGATAACATTGTTAATGCCACAATGTGCCCAGTCTACACTTCGTCATTCTGTTTGTCTTGTACTAATCTTGGTTCTTGTACTCTTTTGTCACACTCCGCAAAATGACATCTGAGGGATGCGTCTAGAACAGAAGTTAATTCAACCAATTACCACTGTATATATCCCTTTATACGGGCAATATGTCCTCTTTCAAATGCGGGGGAAATGACCTCCAAATCTCAACTGCGCAAGTCTATAGATCATTTCCTAATTCGGACGACTACGCCGACGCTAACCCGATGTGTCAACTTTCGCCAGTATATTTCCACGTTCGTCTGAACATCGTCACCCCTCCTTCATCACCTAATCCATGTCGAAGATCTATATCAGAAAGCCAGATCCATGAGAATGTCATCCAATTCATATTCACACTTTCACTTGCACAATGTACGTCCTCGTACTAGGCGCGCTGACGCTATTCGCGCTGGTGTACTACCTGGTAGTGCCTGTGATCACATACTTCTATGATCCAAAGAACCTAAGGAAGTTTCCGAATGCTTACGTCTTGTCTGGGGTATCGGATTTGCCCTTCCTTTATGAAGCAAACAAAGGATTTCGCTCTCGGACACTCTTCGAGGCTCACACGAAACATCCTGTTCTGCGAATCGGACCCAACGCACTGTCTTACTCCGACCCACAAGCCATCAAAGACATCTATGGCCACGGTACAGGATGTATCAAAGACCGATTTTACTCCGAGACCTCAGGCTCGCACTCGCATCTCGCAGATGTCGTCGACAAGCAAGATCATTCCCGAAAGAGAAAGATCTTGTCTAGCGCTTATGCGCTCAAAAACCTGGAGGATTGGGAGTTTAAGGTGGCAGAGGTGAGCGGTAAACTCATCAAAGCATTTGATGCCCGGTGTACCGATCCGTTGCCTCCAAATCAGCTTCCCCGGAAAGAACACCTGACTGTCGACTACCGCAACTGGACTGTGTTGTTCACGGCCGCGGCCATTGCGAGCATTGGGCTCAGTGAAGACCTAGGATTTCTAGACGAGGGATCCGACAAGGTGAAATCTGAGAAGAAAGACGGGACCGTCAAAGAGGTCTCGTTCCGGGAATGCCATGCTGCTACAGGTCGAGTCTCGTACCAGCTGGTCTGGGCCTATGATTGGTTTAAGACCTTCTCCCGAGTGAGTAAGATGGTGTCGTCGAACTATGACCGCATGTGGAAACTGGATGACGATTGGAACGGCATCATCTATAACCGTGCGACTACACGCCTGAAGCGATACCTGGCAGGCGAGACGTTGGATGACTTCTTTGGCGCGATGATGCAGGACAAGAGCGGGTCGCCTCATAATATGGAATGGGGCGAAATTGTCGCTGAGATCAGCATCATGATGAATGCTGGCCATGACACAACAGCAATCTCACTCCGGAACACCCTCTTCTTTCTGCTAAAGAACCCGAAGTGTATGAAACAGGTCCGGGAAGAGCTAGACGATGTCATGGATGAGGATGAGGTCATCGCGCCCTATGCCAAGGTCAAAAACTTGCCTTATCTTCGAGCTTGCATAGACGAGAGCTTGCGCATGCTCCCTCCTGTGATCTTCGGACTTCCTCGCCGGACGCCTGCCCAGGGAGCTCCAATTCTCGATGATTATATTGCTGGTGACACTTCTGTCAGCATGTCAGCTTACGTCGTTCATCACCAAGAGACTATCTTCCGCGACCACGACGCCTACAAGCCGGAGCGATGGCTGGGAGATGAAGGCAAAGCATTGCAGCCTTTTTTCGTTCCGTTCAGTACTGGAGCGAGAGGATGTATCGGTCGCAATATTAGCTACCTTGAGCAGACTGTCCTGCTTGCTTCTCTAGTCCATCGTTTTGAGTTTGCTTTGCCATCACCAGATTGGGATCCTCCCATCCCGGAGACTACCAATCTGAGTCCTGGTCCGATGCCATTGAAGATTTGGAGGAGGGAGTTGGATTAGATCAGAGCGTATGGAGCGAAATGGATGCACTTTCGAGCGTTGATGATGCATGGTTTGGGAAGAAGGCCCAATGGTCTCTTGACCCTATCCTACGAGTTTCATGTTGAAGATAGGTCTTTCAATTTCAACCTTTATCTTTGGTATCAGATATATATAGAGAGAGATCAGATATCGGCTGCAGGTGAGGGAGCCGGGTAAAATTTAGACATCCACGAGCTCAGCAATTGAGGCTGCACGCTGTGGAGGTTTACAACAACCCTGAGCATGCAGGCATCCGTTAAGAGACCAATAATTGCTTTTATAATATGCGAACAGTTATTTGAGGCTGAAAAATCGCGCGTAAATGCATATGCACGTGATGTGGTTGTCCGGGCAACATATGACCCAAAGCGGTATGCGCCCTGTCGATCTGTGGATGTTCTGGAACGTCGGCTTCGCAGCGTTTGCCTGTTTTGATTTCTGTATCTTCGACTTCAACGTTCTCATAATCAGCAAAATGTTGCCGAAACAGCCACAGGCGTCGCTTTTCCAGGTATTTCTTCGACTACGACCTCCGATTGCCCAGAAAGACGAATCAGAGCGTTTCCTTGCAGTTGAGCCCCCAGAGACATCGCAGGATGACGCAGAAATTGTCCCCGCAGTGCCGACGCACATCACTCTCCAACCTCCGAATGATACCCGAAAGCGGGCCGTGGAGAAGTTTGGGTTTACCAAAGTCTTCGAGGAGGCTGCCTCGCAATTAGATGTCTTCCACGACACTGGCATGGAGCCTATCATACGGGGAGTGTTGAAGGAGAACCGAGATGGACTGGTTGCCACACTAGGTGTGACAGGAAGTGGAAAGGTCTGGCATCAAATAAAGGTGTGGCACAACAGCGAAGCTAATAACTGGAGAAATACAGAGCCACACGATTCTAGGATCCAAGACCGAACGAGGAATGACCCAAATGGCGCTCGATGTCATCTTCCGCTCCCTAGAACCCACCGTCAAAACCGATGATGGAAGCATTACCCCCATCATGCTTGCATCGCTGGCTGCTACGGATGTGTCTGAAGCCCAACTGTTCTCGGCCCAGACCTTTTTGGAAGCTGTTTATGGCGAATCCACCGGACGCAGTTCAAGAGCACAAACACCCATGAGCCCATCTCGTGCAAACACGCCATTGACGGTACGAAGCCCTCTTGCCCTAAACTCCCCTCATGGACCGTCAACCCCGCGACCAAACCCACCTAGCTCGTGTCTCCCGAGACCACGGAGTAAACCTGGAAGCCCTCGCAAGGTGGACGCAGCCCTGATAAACCGTCTCCATCACACTGCGCGAGCTGCCCTAGGCCAGGACTCACCCGAGCACACTGGACCCGTTACCTCGGCACTTTACAACCCCCTGCCCTACACCCACTCCAACGTTTTTGAATCGCAATTAGCTAAATCACGACTTTATGTTTTAAAGGAACCTGCTCCCGCCTTGAACTTCCCCCGCCGCAACATTCGTGAACGACAAGGCACGCTTCCTCGACTTCCCGACATGAGTCACCTCTCGGTGGACATGGACTCCAATGCCGACTTCGTCGTTTTGGTATCCATGTATGAAGTGTACAACGATCGAATCTTTGATCTCCTATCCCCTGCAATTGTCCCAGGCCAAGGAACCATGTCCCGCGGCAACAACCAAAAGGATCGACGACGTCCCCTGCTTTTCAAGCCAACCGAAGGCTCACCTGACCGCAAATTAGTCGCAGGGCTGCGAAAGATTGCTTGCGGCACCTACGAAGAAGCATTGGCTATCTTGGATGTTGGTTTGACGGAACGAAAGGTTACCGGCACCGGAATGAATAGTGTTAGCTCTCGGAGTCATGGTTTCTTCTCCCTGGAAGTCAAGAAGCGTACCTTCTCTAAGCGTACTGGTGAGGCCAACTGGGTAGGAAACGCTCTTACCGTTGTTGATTTGGCTGGTGAGTATATTTGGTCTGCATATCCTGGTTTTTACTGACACATCTAGGCTCTGAGCGCGCCAGAACGGCCAAGACAGCGGGTGCCACACTCGCTGAAGCTGGCAAGATTAACGAGAGTTTGATGTATCTCGGCCAGTGCTTACAGATGCAAAGCAACATCCAAGATGGCATGAAAGTATGTCTTAGGACTTTGGTTAATACCATCTGGGCCATGACTGATTCATTTTAGACCGCGCTCGTTCCTTACCGCCAGTGCAAGTTGACCGAACTCCTGTTCTCAAACTCTTTCCCTTCGCCCCATCAAATGTCTCGGGGACAATATCCCCAAAAGGCTATTATGATTGTCACTGCTGACCCTCTGGGTGATTTCAATGCCACTTCTCAAATATTGCGCTACTCCGCACTGGCTCGTGAGGTTACCGTGCCGAGAGCGCCCTCAATCACTGAGTCTATTATTTCTGCATCTGGGAGCCACCGCTCAGTTAGTGGCCGTGCTTCTGTGCGTGATGGGGCAGCAGAGGAGCTCGAAAGAGCAGCTGGTGAGATCACACGTCTTACCCGTGATTGCCACGGCCTTGCTGTCAAACTAGCTGAAGAGGAAATTGCACGGTCCGAGATTGAAGCAAGACTAAGGGCGACTGAAGAAAGATGTCTCATGATTGAGCAAGACGTACGCGAAGAATGCTGGGCAGAGATGGATGAAAAGATGGAAGAGGAGAGGCGCCGTTGGCAAAATGCTTGGGATGAGCAGGTTGGTACTCAAGAAATATTTGGTATATGTCATACGCTAATACTTCTCAGCTCGGCCGCAATGATGAGCATATCGACAAGAAGGTCGAGCTGGTTTCCCGTGGATTCCAGAGTAAGTTGTCTCATGTGAATTTTGGGCTTGAATCATCAGACTAACTTCCACCTACAGTATTTGAAGACCCAAACTCAAATGCACGGATGGAAGAGCTTGAGCAAGAAAATGACGATCTCCGTCGCAGACTCGCCGCTATCGAGCGTGAGATGCACTCCCAATCTCCGACCAGAAAGCCCAGGGCCAAGAACGCTACTCCCGCTCGTGCTAATCTCTTGAGCCGCGAAAGCGACATCGAGAATGCATTGCAACGCATGGATCAGTTGAAACTTGCTGATACCATGTTTGCTCCTCCGTCCCCTGGAGCATCCCCTATCAAGAAACACAGGAAAATGGGCACACGCAAATGGGATCTCGCCCCCGAGGAGGACATCTAAATTTTCCCGATTTGTTGACACGACTGTTACGATTTATCCTTCTTCTCACCCAGTTCAAGATACAGAATTTAACTACCGGATGTTTGGATTGGTTGGCTATGGGCAATGATATCCCTCGGACTAGGCGTTTTGGGAGCCATTGTTTGTTGGAATATTGAATGATACTTCGTTTTGCAAGTAAGAATACCAATCTTTTGGATAACGTTGTTGTGAATATTGTACATGCCAGCTCGTAAGGCAACAATCCTGATGTCCTATCTCTCAACGCCAGCATCCAGCTGTAATATAGCCGGAGATAATTAACCGCAGCGCCATGAATATCCGAAGAAAGTAAAAAGCAAAACACAATTGAAATATAGCCCCGAGTCCATCAGGATTCAGAAGGTGTAATATCCATTGCGTCAGGGTCGCCCTTAGACGCAACATCCTTGCCAGCGAAAGGCTCAGTCTCCGTCTCATTAGCAGACTGCTCAGCAGTGAGATTGCCCTTCGTCTCTTCATCCTGCATTTCCTCATCTTCATCACCGTCACCCTCCCCTTCCGTAGCAGCAGGATCACCATCACCGCCACCATCCCCTTCGCCACCCTCATTCTCATCATCTTCCCCATCACCCTCATCAGCCCCCTCATCCCCACTACCACCTTCCTCCGCGTCAGTAACAGCAGGGAAAAGCGTCGAATTCCCCTCATCGATCATCGTCCCATCTTCGTCTTCACCAACATCACTCTCGTCAGCACTGTCATGCTCCCCATTCGGATCCTTCTGCCCAGCAGCTCCATCTCCATTCGCGGGAAGCGGTTTGCCCGGGACGCGGATAGCAGGAGTCGAGGCCGCGCCTGGCATCGACGCACCATGCGGCGTAGAAGGCGGGTCCGTCTCTCCCGGAGCGGTGAATTTGCTCGCGGGAGCACGGGGAGCAAGCTTCGTGTTAACAATTGTATCGGCCCGTTTCTGGATGTCGCGGCGGGCAATACCCTTAGTACGGCCGCGCGGCGCGGGGGTATCAGAAGCGGGGAGGGGGGTAGGTGGCGCTGAAGTCTCGGCGGAAGCTTCGCCTGCCATGAGGAGGTGGTCGACTTTCATTTTCTCTTTGTTCTCGTCGTTGACTTGCTCGATTAGTTGGGGCATGTTGACTTCGTAGACTCGGGCGTAGAGGTCTGCGATCAGATCCTCGAACATGGTGATTTTCATCAGGTTGTTGTTCAGCTTCTTAAGTTCCAGGGCATCACGGAGTAATTCTAGGAGGGGTTGGCTGTCTGTGGACAGTTGGGTTAAGCTTTCCAGGCGAGCTGTTTTGGTGGAAAATTCTTCCCAGCCGATTGGTTTGAATACGCCTTCTTCATGTCCTTCGTTGATCATTGCTGCGCGGCGGATGAGCTAGAATTGGTTAGTATTGGAGGGGCCATATTATGGGTTGGTCCTGTCTCACCTTTGCATAGTTCAGGCAAATATCCTCCCACAGCTTGGTATGATTGAGGAAATCGCCCTGCTTCTTTCTCACGCGACGCAACAGTTGATCCAAGCTTGCGCGATCATCTAATTGATCAAGCAAGCCGACGAAAAAGTACACATATCGTGTGGTGTAGACGAAATGTCTACCCGGACGTTCGAATTCAGGTCGCCAGACTTGGATGGTGAGTGTCTTGGTGAAAATCTGGGACAATTCCTGCTTGGCAGCAATCGCAGCAACTGGGTTTGGTTGACCATCGTAAACCAAATGGGCAGCCTAGGGATTGTCAATTGTGTGAACCGCTGAGAACAGCCAGCGAAATGGAGGTATACCTTCACGCCCATTCGATGATGCCAG